TATATATATGTATATATATAGGCGCACTAGGGAAATAATATGAAAGTTTATTATTAGTTTTTCCGATCAGTATGGTGTGTTGAACAGACCGGCCTAAGCACTAGCTTCTGGAGCTGTGTTGTAATAAATGCTAATGTCTACTTATAAACATTGAATTCAATCTTCCAAAAAAAAGCTTCATTTTTACGTTTATTATCAGTTCCGATTGCTATGTATATTCATAAAGTTCGTCGTAGGCATAGAATGGGGATACCTCCAAGGAATTTTTTCAGTTATGGCTATAGTCACTATAATTTAGTACATCATCGTATTTTATTATGACAGTCGATATTATATAGAGCAGACAGAGCTTGATAAAACATAAATATGTTCCTTAACGTCGAACAGATTTATGAGCTATGCCTATATGCTATCAATTTCATTCAAGATTTTAGGACAGTCATTTTTCTAATAAAATAGACACATTTTGGCTATCCAGTTTGTTACTTTGCAGTCGTTAATTGCAAAATAAAAATGTATCTTGAAAATGTAAGTGTGCATGATTAATTCGTTTCCACTATATAATTACTCAAACTTGTTGAAAAACCAAAACTAGGCAAATTCTGATATATTTTACGAAAAACTGGATGGCATAACTAGGTATCTGGCACAGAGTCGAAGATTTTCTCATATCAGCCTGACGGATCCTTTGAGATTATGCGAGAACTCTAACCTTGCTATATACCCTATTATTGTTATCATCATTAACACCGCGCTACAGACTACATAAAAGCAGTACGCCGTAACCATTTATATCGCTAGGCGAAACAATATTTATCAGAGGCGTTAGGCTATATCTATACTTCATTATGTGTATTCGCTCATCGAAGGAAGAGTTACTGAACAAAATTTCATCTTTAAAAGATTATTGAGTGGAATGAACCGGAATGTCTTATCGAAAATGGGGGTCACGCTGAAATTCATGTCGGACATGTATACCAGCACATGAGTAGGGCCTAAATTGTAGCTATTCGAAACTGTGCAATGGCGCAAGCTTCCGTTGGAGTGATAGTTGCATGCTTAATACTTTTCCTGTTGAACCCACAATGTTGTGCCATTACTAAAAATGAACAGCACCGACTTTAATCTTATCCTTCTTCAGGCCGGAGTATCCTCACTATTCATTCTGGCATATCTCAATCACAAAAGCCACCCAAATTTGCAAACTTCCATATGTAACTTCCCATGAATGGAAATTATGACCTAAAAAAATGCACAGATATACTGACGTTTCTTTTTCATCAAGAGTATTCCTACACTTCTTCGATTCTCTGCGGCGTACAACTACAGTTAATTAAGTAGCACTCAGCCGTAACTATCACAGGGTCCTAGAAACATTTCGGTTATCCATTGCAAATCTTATGCAACTATAGTTAACTAACCCACTTGTATATTTGTGTATGCGAAATTCTAACTGGACTATTTGGCGAGCAGGCACATCGAAACAACTGCTGGCACGACATCTCCGTGAAATCTATGCTTATCACAGAGGGCAAAAAGAATTCAACTTGATTCCCACAACTAAGCAGTTCTCGAAAAAATTAATTAACACAGAGAGCAATCATGCCTCTAAAATACATCTACACATAATCGGTCCGCCCCGGACTATAACCACCTAGATTTGTAAATAGGCTTCCTTTTGAGATCGAGCAAAAATTACTGATATGTTATGTGCTGGCGATAAAGGAGAAGTTATCAATCAAACGTTTTCGTCGCTGGGTTTCATGTTCATTGAAGTTCGCCTACGCTTAGTTTGTTGGATAAGAAATTCATTTACAAGAAGGAGCTCAATGACAATCCAACAGTGCTTCTAATTAGACCAATTGCATACATATTCCTATTCAACGAAAAATTATTAAGAGTACAGCAGCTGATATTTTTCTATTATGGGTCCTGAGAAGCCAATGTATATGGCCGGATCGGTGTTTCGAAATGACATGACGAAACTGAGCGGGCAGTTGACTAAATCTATTCGGCCCGATCCGTCCATAAACATCATTTTGGTGTATGGAAGCTCGCCTCTATTTTTGGTTCTTAAGTGTCATATGAGCTATGTTACTACATGAGTTAGATATTCATTTTCTACTGTAGTCTTGCAATAACTACTTTTTGCTGTGGTATGAAAGGCCAAACCCTCACAGTCGTAAAGATCCTTAGAAATGGCAAAATGCTGATATGCATTACTTGTTATACATAGTTCCCACGGGCCAGTTCAAAATCTCGGACAGTCTAATGAATCAAAATTATGAAGTGCACGTTGCCAGTATCTAGATTCCTCAACAATGAAACCATCTAATGCCCATATTGCAACACTGAGTGTAAGCATCAAAAGAATCATACACTGTTGCCGGAAAGCTTATTCTATTACGGGAAAATTTCAAATAGAAAGGTTAATTTGCTATCTCACGCAATTTGATTAGGTGAGCAAGACGTCCGGTTACGACGGAAAACCAGATACGTATTGAGGGTTTACGCGATGCTACTAACACAAAAATCTAAAAACCTGAGTACATTGGGAGTATGTAAAACAGAAATAAGCCAATAGGTTAAGGCATATCTATAGGGCACGTTGTGAAACGTTGCACGTTGGCAAAAAGCAATTACTGACTGATATTCAAAGTGGCCAGGTATGTAAACAATAAATTCAACAAAAAATACGCTTTTATTATTTTCACTGATTCACCGAGTCGTGCTTTCAACTACATTTATAGTGCTCACATTTGCAGGACCCCTTATTTTGGCATACACCTATAATCAGAGACGTAGCTGCTCAGGAAGACATCCAGCAGGTCATAAAAAATATCCGCGTGTTAGCTCAGTGGGTAGCCTATTTCCCTGCTAATATTAGGAACAAGTTGTGATCTACTTTCAAACTGGGCATAGACACACGGCCGCCTGATAGGACGCCTAACGGAGATACCGGACGTAGAGGCTATAACAGATTAAACGTAATCGAATGTGACTGTCAGATCGTTTGCTACCGTAGCAAAAATAGAACTGGCTATGTATTTACACAGATATGTAAGTCTGATAACAGAACACACAGAAATTGTTTCACAAGTAAATCTGGTCTATCGACCTTAATTGCTGAGCGTTTGTAAACTGACAGAATCTCTTTTGCGGCATTACCTTAAGATGCCTTGCTGGGCAAATTTTCCTGTCTGGTACATCGGTCATCTCATCTTATCCACAAGTCCTACGCACGTAAAGGCTACAACAAGTGAGATTTCAGTTTTGGACTTATTCACAGTATGTGGCCTGTTTGCATGAGGGTACGTATTATTTTTGCTTTCTAAAAAAATCTGCACAATTGTGTACTTGATTGTTGAAAAAATAGATATTTGTCTGCCTTGAGCCAAATATGTGCTTGAGACGTCTTAAAAACCCAATTTCTTGTCTCAAACTATAGCATTCCTGAGCCGTACGGAGTCATTGAGATAGGTCAACTGTACTGTAAAATTGAAAAAAAAAACAAAGTATTTGTAATGCTTAGCACCTTCGTATTTCGCAAAATTGTTGCTTGTACTTGTTAAGAAAGAACGTAACCAATATTATTCCTTCGCACAAATATCGAATATCTACTAACAACCTTTTTTCCCTTTTTTTTTCCCTACAAGAGACAGTTGCAAACGGAGTTGTCGGACGAAGAAGAAACGCCGATTTTCAAAGTACGGATCAAAATTTTCTTACCTGATACTGGCAAGCCCATTTAAAAAATATTGTAATACAGCTACTGACTGGAAAGTGTGTGCGGTGTCTTCAATCTCAGTAGCCTGCAAACAATACTATTGTAGAGCTGTTTGATACAGCCGTCAAATGTTAATTATTTGTTCTCGTTGGAACATAGTACTACTAACATAAACACTAATAATGCTATCAATGAAAAAGCTCCGTAACTCTTAATAGACGTTAGGATAAGCGTAAGGCCTTGAAGAACGTTATGCACTTAATGCATCTGTATACGATATAACACAAAGAAAGTAGATTCGGCGGAATCGAGAAAGGATTTGCTAGTGAAGTCGCTCGATGATAGAAGATTCTGAAGAAATACAATGGCTAATACCCTCAATCGCATGACGTACACCAATTACGAGTGTCCTGATGATTGAGTTGAGTGCAGTTCGATTCGTACGTCTAGGTCTAGGTGTAAAGGTTTTAGAAAGCGTAAAGGGAACAAAAAAACGAAACAAGCAGATTACCTCTTCTCACATAGATCGTTTCGAGTTTTATATCCGATGCTACTGCCATTAAGTATTTTTTCATACGGCTGACGACTTTATTTGACACCCTGCCACGAATCGATGTTTCAGCATCAAATGCATAGAAAGGTTTTCCTCGGTTTCAGTTAGTTCAACTGTTCTGCTCCGACCGTAGATCAATAAAAGCGTACTTGACAGGGCATATAAAAGAAAGAGTAATTTATGAGCATTTGGGGAAACAGACATTTTCAGTTACATATTCGACCTATGCCAATTCTCTTATTTCGTTAAGATTGACGGAGTGAATAGTACATTCATATTTGTTGCCTATCGTTTTTTAATTATGCAAAATTAGCGACTGTTTACCTACTACTCATGTATATACTCATATAGCGGCCTAATATTTATTTGGAAACTATTGGCAACCAAGAAGCATTTTGGTTGAATAAGAGCTCTAGATTACTGTAAACGTAAAGTTAATTATTAAATATATATTTGATACATGACATTTTTATTTTTTTACAAAAATAAATAAATAATAATAATAAAAAAACGAATAAAATTTATTTTATTCGTAAACTGGACGTAAGACATATTATAGGTTAACTTTGGGTATCTTGCACGGATTTTCGATTAGTTTCGAAAACGATAACTAAGATGTTAATGAGGTCGTACTATTAGGCACATCAGCAGTGATAATAAAATTTAGGGATACAAGTTCCTAACCTACGTGTTTGATGTAGCTGCGACTGAGCTTTTTCATTGCTTGCTGCAAATCTATTTTTAGCTCATTTCGTCTCGAATCGTTCATTTTTTTTTCTGTCAATAAATAAAACACTATGCTATGCTATGCTATCCTGCGCTACTGAAATCATATAAATAAAACTCTTTTGCCAGCGGAAGTTCTGTACAAGAATATCGGTTTCGCTGCATCCTGCAATCATTATTATCTGCATCGAACTTGATAAGATGATTGAACTAGATGAAAAATTATTTCAAATCATGCCATAAGTATCTTCGTTTATTTATTAGAAATTACTCAGGATATCGATTTTGCTGAATAAATATAAGGAATTACATTCGTTGGATTTAGTTAAAAGTTACTCAAGGTGAAGTGACGACACCAATACATGTGACACGTTACGCACCATAACAACGCATAACAAAAGGCTTCTTATTTATCTATGAACTTCGCGAACGTTCGAGGTTACCTAGTGACCACAAAAAAATGAAATAACATTAGAAAAACGACACTACTACTTGTCGGATTCAAGCGACCCTTTTCTAATTGTGGCATCTTCGCGTACAGTTGTGCCCTTATTACTGGCGTTGTCCTATGCAGTGAGAGCGTTCCTTTTGAGGGCTTTCACGAATGCGTCCATCGAGCCCATCTTGTGCGCTGACAATAACATCAGCGCACGGTCTTGCTGCTGCTGCTGTAACAACTGGACGAGGCGTACGCTATGGTTCGAATGTTATTGCTCACTTGCGATTACGGCTGGTGGCAGAAACCCTGAAGGACTGAGGGGGCTGGGCTCCGTTTGCCCAGACGCCTGAGAGTGTTTTTGTGTTGTTGTTGTTGTTGATGATGATGACGATGATGTTGTTGGCGCCGCCACCGCCGTCATCGTCGCTGCCTACACCGTGTTCGTTCTTATTTCTGCCGCTGCTGCTTCTGTGAAAAATGCACCTCTTACACGAATCTCAATATGCCGTGATATACATATATAAGTTATATACATGTATATAAATCAATAGAAGTTATGCCATAATCAGCTCAGGGATAGGGGGCTAATTAGCGGAGTATAGCGACCATTATGTTGCAGCTTTTGTTGGCGTCGTCAGTCAGGTGCTTATCAATCCACTTGTAAGGCTGCATTCTCCTCGTAGTTAGTTAGTGTGTGTGTATATAGTACGGCAAACATCTACTGCATGACAAGTCTCTGCTGAAGCAAACTAGTTTCTGTGCCTTTAGGTATTTAGAGAAACAAATGCTCCCGTGTTTGAGTAATGAGCAGTTAGTTACCAAATGCAATTAATGCGGTGCTCCATATGTGTGTGATTGCATTTGCGCGTGAGGGATGTGGTGTCAAACAATCAACTTCTGTACCTGACAAAAATAATAACGAGAAAGGGGGAGGAGTGCCCCTTTATGTGTGAAAAGATGCGTGGCCAATACATCTGTCACCTAGTAGCTTCGACTAGCTTATAGAAAAAATATATATCTTATCGGATGCATGGATACGCAGGTGCTAGTAAAGACGCGAAAACAGCTTTGAACTTCTAATCTAATTTCATATCATACTAGAAAATTTAGTGATTGACACCTAGCTAACGGTTTAGTACAGAATTTCTTAGAAGAAACATTCTGAATGAGTCGGTATGAGCCTATGAGATGTCACGTGAGTGATATATTTAGAGCTTAAATCCTGATATGTCAGATGATCAATGTATTCTCAAATGGGATTTTATCAAAACTTTAAGATTTTTTTGCTGTAAGGTTTCTAAAGCGGTTTCAGGAGTATATCTGACCTGCTAAAATTTTTCAACAGTCCTACCTCATTGGCTTACTCATACAGTTGTGTAGATACAAAGAAACAAATATTTGCATTTTGAATCTACCTCGACTCGTAGTAACATGTACGCACTCGATGACAACTTGATTAAAGATCAGAGAAAACGTAACGAAACCAAGATGGGCAAAATGTTGTGTTTCCATCAAAAAAGGAATACTCACAAATTACGTAGCTTAAATATTAACATTAACAATTCATCTCTCCCACTTCCTTTGCCTATATATACACTTTTAATTAATTCATTAAAGGAGTTTCTGAGCTATCGAAGCTCATGTAGACAAGTTTTGGTGGAAATAGAAGAACGTTTTTGGAAAAAGATGTGTGCTATATACCGTATATGAAAACAATAGACAGGTTGGAGGGAGTTGCTATGAAAAGAACTAAACAGGAAGTCATACAGGATTATTCTATTAGTTTGTCTTAAAGACCGTTATGGCAATAATCATTTATGAAAAGCGATATCATAATAGCAGAATGCCATCGAGGGAAAATACGTTTAAAAAAAAAATTATTTCAATGTACTACTCTGTACATATAACATCCGAGTAAATAATATTGTATTCAAAAGTCATCAATGTGTACACTACATAAATGTAAGATAGTTCCGATGCGACTGCTGAGAAATCTGTTTGTGGATAACTAAACATTGATCGTTGTCAGCCGTTCGGTATGGTTATACTCGGAGCGCATAAATGTTATTGTACATAATCATTTGTCATAGGTAAATGACGAACGTAATTATTTCTGTGACGAATCTATTGCAGAGAGACTTGATCTTCTATAGCAGCAGGCGTGTTTCATCATTACGGCCTTGACAGGCAACAGCACGGCCCTAAGCCGATTTCTTAACTGTGTTCCACAAATAGACCCAAAACAATCTTGTTTGTAAGTTCTGGTTACGTGAGTGTCTTCACCTTCGTGATAATGATGACCGAGGCCTGGGGAGTGATCACTCTGGGAAAAAGCAAATTTTACATGGATTTCCCAATGGCCACGTAAGTTAATTACTTTTTGCGCTTTTCTTTCTTTAATTATCTGTTATTTCAGTTTGTTTATGGACACGGTCTATATCAAAGGCACCCACTTTACTTGAACAATGTATGGCGCTTTTGGATCTTGCATGTGAGTCACTCTTGTGTCGATAGTGTTATACTGGAAGAAGGAGCATTAAACAAAAGTTTGCATGTAGGGTGTTTTTATCAGTTCTTGGAAAATCCTATCCGATGACACGCCATAGCCGTTTCTTATCTCTACTACATTGATTGAAGAGGGCTGTTCTTAAAATAGGAAGACGAAGTGTCCTGTACTTTCTGTTCCTATGTAGGGCTTTAAGTCAAGACGCGCGATGGTGTTCGAGAACCATAGAACAGTCCAAGTTTTGGACTTCGCTTAGCACTTCAATGCGAAAATGATGATGGTTCTGAGAAGTGACCTAAGTCGGCTGAAGCCTGTTGATAGGAGTCACTTAGAACTAAATCAATAGGCCGTTAAAATCTAAATAAATTTTCGCTGAAGCGGACCCCGCATTTAATTATAAAATAAAATAAACATTAACACGTATTCTCTGAGATACGCACATTGTGATTTTTTTTTGAAGACGGAAGAGGGATGGGCTAACACGACGTTTACCTATTTATCCACATCAAGCCTGCTCAGCCCAAACAAAGGCTCGTGCGTGGTTAAGAAACACATCTTGTTTGAAAGTGACAACGAGTGCTAACGTACGCTACTTGGGCAAACACCAAATTAGAAGGACCGCTTCGGTGAGCTGGAACGTCCCGTCTCTTCACTAGAACTAATAAAAGTTTCAAGGTAAAGAAACGGCCGGCACCACCGATAGGCACTACTTCAGACGGCTGGCTCCCAGCATCAAACGAGGTATGTCTATACCTGGATTCGAATCTAGACCACCACGTGTCCCTAGGTCTTGTACGCGAACGCGTTACCCAGTAAGGTATCCCAAGGACATTTTTGTTTTTACTACAACTGGCTTGCAGCGACCAGTTCTTGAAAACCACAAGCAACGTCCTTATCTGCAGGCGATTCAGCGAGGACAATGAACTAACATTCCGTTGCGTCTTTAGGTGCGAATGCGCGACCGCTCTAATGCGCGAAATATCATATATTAATATTTCATTTTCAAACCTTCGTGCTTTCAGCGTCTAATAAATTATATTGGATGGTCGTGGGCATCTAGCAGCTGTCGTAATGAACTGCGTGTATTATGCGTGTATTAAAAAATAATTGTGATTGAAAAAACAGGGAAAAAAATGTAAAATATGCGGCTGCTGTGCGCTGCACATCCGCTTTAATAGATAGCGCATAAACAAAGCGGCCATAATTTCGTAGCCCGTACTTTGATATCATGCACAGTAGACGATTCGTAACGAAAATTTTTATTAATACAACGTTGCATGCTGCGCACGTTTGTTTGCTAATGTAGAGAAGCTAGCGACGGTACCTCTCCGGTTCATGATGTGACGTCTACCGAGCGTGGCAAAGCTCGAGCCTCAGTCTTCGAAGAACTCCTGTCCCGTGAGCAGATTGATGTACCTTTGCTCCGAAAGTATTGCTTCCACGGCATTCCGGACGGCCCTAGCTTGCGATCGTTGTGCTGGAAAATTCTGCTTGGTTAGTGGTATTAAGAGTTATAATCCAAGAGGCTTGCCTTTCCTAATCCTAATATCTCCTAAGCGCATTCTTCTAGGACATCGAGATAGCAGATCCATGCAGGATAAACAGTGCCGAAGCAGTTGTCTTCCCTTCCTATTAGCGTTGCCTCCTAAGTGCGACGCTTCAGTATGGTGTCAGTGCTCTAACTTCACTTATAAAATCGTCAGTCATACCTCACATTAGTCAACAAAGTTAATAGAACGTATTACATGACGCTGGGATAATTTATATATAACTACATGTATTAAAATATCATTTGATATCGAAAAACATTTATTAGACTAGCACAAAAATGAGTATCTTTTTTTGAATATGATTTACTCAATGACAATACTTCAGCAAGATAATTCTTGTCTGTATGGTGTATGTAAATGTGGAAAAAAGAATGTCAACTAGTTTACCTGGATTTCTTTTGTCCGATATAGTTGGGCATATTATTACCATACTGAAATGGTTCCCTATGCCTAAATGCTACATAACCTGTATCGTATTATACTTCTAGCTGTTAGCTAGCATTTTATCTGTTCACGTCTATCTTCAAAGGGCTGACAGTATTAAAAGGTGAATACACGGTCATTACGTTCAGGATTAGTCACTTGTAAAGTCCTGATCAAAGCCATCGATTGCCCCCACCAGTCTGGCTCATATGGCATTATTAAGATTGCGACCTTGTTTGTACCAGAAATGCGACTCGATAATTCTCTCACCTATACGGCTCGACGGAATTCTCTATGGCCGTTTAGAGGCATCATAAGCAGCTAGATAAATAACAAGGTAGCTGTTTCTTAAGCTAGTTTCTAAGATCCCTAGGTACTATGTTTAGGATCTTTTCCAAAATCCATGATAACTAGCGGTTTTGGGATAAGTCGTGTTCTAAGATACGATAACGAAGTTGAAATGTGTACCTCATTTTCTAGGTTCTGAGAAGGAATGCGGGTGCGTGTGTCGTATAAACACTTATATCGTTTTCTTTTCAATAAATCTGACCCCCCCCCCCCACTTCGTTTGCGTCTACTTGTAAAGAGGTATCTGGAGCCTATTGAGAGCACCGATTAGAAAAGTGCTTTCATTTTGTCATTCATGATTCGTATCTACATATGCTGCCTTAATCTTATTTTGTGCGTATACAGGCGCCTAACCTAACAATAATGTAAGCAGACCATTACACTAAATCGTATTTGGATTTTGTCGTGTTTCACTACCATTGCGCATCTGCTGTACAGGTTATTTAGGGGGTGACCGACGCCAATGGCCCGAGTACCTAGCACAACAACGTCAGCTATATGCACGTTTTGTCAACGAAATGGTAGTTGGGTCAGGAACAGCGACTGACCAGTCATGTGAGGACCATCCGCTCAACATGAACCCTGACTCAAGGTTAGACATAACTAGACTACACAAAAAACTATCAATAAGTAATGCTATGTTATAGGGTTACTGTGCTAGTCAGATATAATTTATGGAGCTAAAACGCCGTCTAGGAGATATAAACAAAAAGCAGTAAAGAAACTTTATACCATATCATACTGCTATCAAAGATCGTTATGCAAAAATCAAGCGATTGAAGAGGCAACAAACAAAACATTAATTCTTTATTCTAAATGACGTTGTAAACATATGAGAAAAATGCCCTCTCATTTTGCAGATGGCAGAGTTACTTCAAAGACAACGACGTGCTCCTACAAATCGACAAGGATGTTAGAAGGCTCTGTCCTGACATATCGTTCTTTCAGCAGGCTACGCAATTTCCTTGCAAAAAAATCGTCGATGATCCCTTGGTTGGTGTTCATTAGAAGATTCAAGTCGAACAGTTTATATTCCGTATCAAGGATAAATATATTACCCGTTATCGGGCTCATGTAGGCTTTTAGCTTGCAAATAGAATGCATCACCACACAGCTTTAGCCTATGCAGCCCGCTTCTGTAGTTCGTATTCTTACTATATAAATTCTTCGTCAACAGAAAAGTCTTAACTTAAGCGTTAAAAACGTGTACGTTTGAGGTGGTTGTCTTATGTTGATCGCTATTCGAGGTGTCTGCTATTTTTCAGGTCGATTCATTACGAGAGCGGGTAGAGCGGACCGTACTGCGGTCAGGCGCAGTCCAGCGTAGTCGAACAGGTCTAACAAACGTCGCACTGTTTAAGAAAATTACCACGGAGAAATATTCAGCTTTACCCAGTGGTCAGGAGGCTCACTGGGAGGTATGTTGGCGTCGCTGCTGGCTATCAGAGATTGAAAATCAGAGCCAATAGTCGGATGATTTGCTTGTTGTCGACCTAACGGATTAAACAGTTTTTAATTTAAGCCCTGTTATCGAAATACAATACAATATACAATATGTGCGATAGATAAACAGAGAAAGTGACTGTATAAGTTTGAATGAAAGTTCCTCCATATGAAAAGACGAACTGTGTAAGAAGTCTTAGAAAAAAAATAGGTTTAATCATCGTCGTACCTCAAGTGAGCGTTCTATATCATATATTCAGCCATAGTTAGCCGTAGGTTGTTTTAGCTCAAGCTCTTCGTGCGCTAAGTTTTTGCCTATGCAATATTGATTTTCGACATTTGTTAATAGTTGTTCATATAAGCGACGAGTTAATTCAATCTGGCTATCTATATAGCTATATAAAATCAATATATAGCAAGTTGTTTTCAGTAGATACTAAAGCCACACCAAATTCTAAAAAAAAATGTGTTTTTTCTTTTGTTACTGTTGTTATTATTTTAATGATTCGCAAATACCGTCCTAAATGCAAAACTAGGGGTTGGGTAAATACAACTGTTAACGATTTCGTTATTAAGCTAATTTTCTATACGCAGGTGGTGGAACGAATCCTGTTTATCTATGCAAAGTTGAACCCCGGTGTTGGCTATGTTCAGGTGAGAATTGCCTCGGCTCGCACCTTTTAAAAAAAGTTCTACCATCAAAAAATTAGGACTGGACGGGGCAGAGATCCCAACAAAACGTTCCTTAACAATTCGTTGCCGACTATTATTGAAGTGTGTGTGTGTATAATTCAGGCAGCTAGGCAAATAACTGTTTTAAACAGCGTCAAATGGAACATATTGTTGTGGTTCATATTTGACTAAAACCTAATTTACTGCCATTGAACAAGTCGTGTGTTTTGTATTGCTATCAACAGGGAATGAACGAGATCCTCGGCCCTATTTATCACACATTGGCAACTGATGCAGATACGACAGTTCGTGAACACGCTGAAGCAGATAGTTTTTTTTGCTTTACGCAACTGATGTCGGCAATGCGAGACTTTTTCCTCAACGCCATGGACAACACGGTATGAAGGACTGTTACATATTGAAAAAATAGTTTTGCGGCGAACCCTAAAGCGGGAAAGTATCTCCTAGCTATTAACTCAATACAGTTATAATAAGACATTTTCCAGCACCTCCCGTGTAACACAATATTTCGATTGTTGTCATATAGGTTAGCGGTATTGGTGCCATGATGGACCGCTTCATGAGTCAAGTGAAAACTATCGATCCTGAATTGCATCAACGTCTCGTTCAGCAGGAAATTAAGCCACAGTTCTACGCATTTCGCTGGATTACGCTTCTTTTGAGCCAGGTATGCGCACATTGCAAGTACCGACTGCGGTTGTCCTCCGGTTACGTATTTTTTTTTTATTTGTTTTTCGATTCTTCAGAGCATCTGCAGTCCAATAGAATGGTCAAGGTTAACACACTCGGCGCTATAGGCAATACTGCAGTTAGATCGTAATACGTATAGCTATTATTAGGCCAATAGATTCTCAAGGTGCATGAATTTATCCGCCCTCTGCACCCTTAAAAAGGTGCGGGTTATTGTAAATGTTCGTGCAGTTGCCTATTGACTATAGGTGTACATTATTTTATAGATATAAAATGAACGATTTTAAGAAGTAATGAATTTCGAAAGACAATTAACGTCAACAAGCGAATCACTTTATAGAGCGCTCACTAATTATATTTTTTCGTTTTATCTATCAGATATACTTAGCACTTGTTTCCTGTCTAATTAACTCTGAATACATTATTTACTTACAGGAATTTTCCCTTCCCGAGGTCGTCCGATTATGGGACTCAATTTTCGCGATGAACGAACGACTCGACTTCGGATTCCTTCTGTCAACGTGTTGCGCGATGATGATTCTATTGCGAGAAGAGTTGTTAGAGGGTGATTTTGCCCACAATATGAAATTGTTGCAGAATATTCAACATAACGAAATTGATGGCGTATCAGTCGATGACATTCTAAACAAAGCTCTCTGTCTTTATGATAATGCACCAGTGACGAAACTGGCAGATAGTGCGGGCCAGTTGTAACTTTCATCAACAGCTCGACGATGTTTTATAGATGCCTATCTATGCCAATTAAATAGTCTTACTTAAGTGCTATATAGAATAAAATTAGCATGAAGAATGATTACGGTCAAAAAGCGAGATGAGATGAACACCTTATTGTTTTTATGAGTGATAATGTCTAACTAAAACACGAATCAACGGCGTGTACAGTTATAGCTATCGTAGCATCCAACAAATGGGCAATCTTAGGATATGCTTATTTGGAAGGTGTTAATAATTATTGGAACTCTCCCAACTAAGTAATCGATATGATACTGAAAGGAGGTTTTAAATTCTCAGCGTTTTGTTGGCACTCGTTCGTGTTCATTTAGAATTCTAAACAACTTTAAACGTGCTGATATTATGAGGATATTTATGATGGCCGTAAGTGAAACTAGATACCCGGTAATGATGGTTACAAGGAGAATTAAAGTTTTCATCTTAAAAACATGTGAGAGAATAAGACTATTTTTCGCTAGAGCAATACGTTAATGACTTCTAGAGGACTTTATTATGTCAGAGTATGTACGGGTAAGACTATAGTGATGGGATAGATATTCCTGAACAAATGAGTATCATCATATTGGCACGAGTTCAAAATGAAGTAATAAATCGCCCCCGCTGAGATTAATAGCTGCAGCCGAAGTATGTTGGTGAATTATCTCTCCTTTATGGGGCTTAACCTATACATAGATATATATATATATATATATAGGAAAATTAATAAAAAAAAATTATATTTTTAATTGACTAACTAAATCCAGCTTGACACAAGCTTGTAAATGTACAACGCAATAGCAGTCACAATTTACAACGTACAATAGAAACAAATGTGTTATATGTAAAGGAGTATTTTGCTTGGAACCACCTCATTATTCGAATCGACTGTTCGAAAACAGAACCAAATAGGTAATTGTAACATTCCATGTTTTTAAATAACACCAAAAACTGAATGATGATAATAATGCAGTTGAGGTCGAGATTACCTAGGCGAAAACTACTCGACGTGATCAAGCTGAGTCTCAATTAAACTTTGACTTGACTTGAATACTTTCATTGGCTCACGCATGTATCGAGGTCTTCGCAACATACTATGCTGTTTGGATCATATTTAGCTGCATTTTCGACTCGGGCTGCGACTGGGATTTCTCCAATCAATCAGACATTTCTCATAATCAGTTTCTAGGGTTAACCGGGTGTTTTCGAAGTGGCTGATGGTGATATTTATAGCGGGTTTGCTCACTTTGACAATTTCAACAATGGCGTTATTCCGCTGTGCGTGTAATGAGTATTATGACTTCATGATTATTGAGAGATAGTTCGGGTAATCAGACGTAAAAAGAAAATCGACGATGATTAGCTGTTATAATCGCTTTTATCGGGTGGTTCTGATAGATCTGCGAAAAAAAGCGTCTAAAATGCATGCAAAAAATACGCGTAAATGCCCCGGCGTGAAGGTCACACGTTTTTCGTACTACCTAAACATACAGGCCATTTGTTCGTTCGCGTATTTGACATTCGTGTAAATAAAAGTATACACATGAAAACAACTATTCAGTGATTTTCGTTTAATTTCGGAAATTTTAATGAGAACATTGTGTTCTTTGATGCAACAGACGACTAAGCAATGGCTAGTAACAATTGGATACAATGGTGACAGTAGCAATAAAACGATACGTTGTTTCCCCAATGGTTTCTAATTTATTGTTGATGTCCGAGACGTGTTCAAAATGTCAGAAGCGCAATTATTTGTGGGTCAGGCCATTATACCTGTCTACGCTAGAGAAGTTTTTCTGTAGTTTTGCTGAGATTATTGATTAGAATTGACATGAGCGCGGCGTCTGTTGCACACCTACTTAGCGTGATTTACGCGAGACCAAGATAGATGACGCAGAGTTCTAATATGAACTTTTTTTTTTTTGGTTAGAAGAGACGCGAAAGATTATTGCTATGGTAACTTTTAAATTTGCTGTTACCAAGTGCACCATCTAATGGAAAGCATAGCCCCTCACCTACACGTTCTCAAACCATCTACACTGGTGCACATTCATCCGTAAATATGTATGCAGTAACATGCAATGGTATAAGGTAAACACCTCATGACTAAATAATTCCTTACGTTTGAGATAGTATGGAAATTACACGAGGGTGTAAAATAGCCTCGCAGAACCCAAGTGTTGTGCTTTCTTTATCGTAACAAGGGACATGTGATAGTAATCCTATACCATTCTAGGCTTACATTAGGTATACGTCAGGAGACTTAATTCGGTTTACTAACGTTGTTTAAGTTACACCTGTTTATGCCAGCATGCCGAATCACCAGTTTATATATGACTGAACTGTTCAGCTAATGATATTCAGATTATTTATTTAAACAACATCGATAAAACGCCGGTCCCTTTCTGTTGCATTCCATCACATATGAACCACAATTAAGCACAACATAACGATTATATGATACGTTTAGACTTTTAAATTCTCTGGTCAGCTTTGTCGTATTCTTTTAGCATTGGCTATAGCTGACTAGTCTCCTTTAGCGCAACTATCTTTGTTCGTTGAACCTCTAAATATTATTTCGCTAGGTGGTGACTGTGCCCTCCGTGACCCTTGCCGGCTTGCGGTAGAAATTCCGGTCTGGTACGTACTGCCGTAGAATTTTATGAACATTACGAAAAAGTAAATATACATTAAGATGATGATAAGTGCGGTTTGGAAAGGGAAGCCACATTCATAAAACAAGGGTATGGACATGTGCGCGATGATGATTACAAACTGCGCGATCTGCAGCAGCGTTAGGTAGCGCTTCCAGTACAGATACAATCGTAGAGATGGAAACGATGCGAGAAAATAGTATGAATACATGATAACGTGCACGGTCATGTTGACCATCGACAACAGGCAAATCTGTCCATCGATTCCGTACGACATCCCGTACCACGGCAGAAAGACCGCAATGCAGTGGTGGCTGATGTTTAGCAAACTGGCCTGATTGAACTTCTTGCGAAGAACGAAAAATACAGTATCAAGAAACTCGACTATACGTACGAACATATACTGATAATGAAGCTGCACAATGGAGATATCACCACTCTTTACATGCAGACCCTCGCAAAATATGCTGTAGCCTCCGCCAATATAGGAGTGTATGGCAACGTTATAGCAAAAATAGACGTTGAGAAACACTAACGTCAGATTGTAAAGACGGATAATGCCTCTCAGATTGAATTCCTTACGGCCTGTCATATATCGTGGCAGTACAACCTTTACTAGACATACGTATGACAAAATGATCAATAGAAAAGTTACCCAGTCGCCGGCACTGAACCATCCAATAGTCCTCGGATCCCGAGGAGGTAAATACTGTGCTATCATTACTAATATTGTAAGGTTGATAAAAGTAGATAATCTACCACTTGAAATATTGCAGTTTCGTACGTTCAGCCTTAATAGTTCACACCGTTAACGTAATATTGGTGATTCATCTGACTCATCAGATTCATAGATCTGAGAATCGACGCTGTTCACGAGACGACTGCGCAATGTTCTTACGACAACAGAATACTGCAGATCGTTTCTAATCGAGATAGTTAAATATAGCAGAACTGGCCGTCCCTAGCTGCAAAATTGTCGAACGTTGACTTAGATTATGTCGGTACTACTTTTTGGTTCCTTTTTTGCCACTTAACCCGGCAAAGCAGCGGTGTTCTTCCCGACGGCAAACCCCCAGATACGTGGAAATACGAAGAGCTGAAATATACAAAAGAGATAACGTATAGTACTCTTGTGCAATTATTTCGGTGCAGAATTTACGCAACAATAAAAACTATATCCCCGAAAAGCACGTCAGTAATACTACTATTTCATCAATCGTAGGTTTATCGCCCGTATTATGGTCGGGCCGAAAAAAGCTAAACCTCGTTAAGCGATATAAAACTACCGTAACATCTTATACACGAATCAGTTCTGTAGATAAGTTGTCGAAGCTCACTGATATGATACCATATACTCAACCGGTTTCGCAATTTTGATTTAATAAACAACATGTCGTTCAACAACAGAATGTTATAAATCAATTTTCTATTAATATCAATCGTACCTAGGTATAATCTTTGGCTGGATGCTTCTGCTGCGATGGCGGACACCCAGCCGATCAGGCTGGCTGCAAGCTGCGCTGTAGACTGTACTCGTTTCACAGTCACCACTATTCATATTATAATTGTGATCATCCGCAGACGCGAAAATTTGCACATCCGGCAAAGGTAGCATAAACCAAGTAATGGTTATTTGCGTTCTCTGTCTGAAAGCACGCGACATGAGACGCGGTGGCTAGATTACCTGATCGCTTGCTTCTCGTCAGCCGGGTTGGCCAACACCCTAACTTCCTGCACATTACAGGTGATAATTTTCGTAGCTGCAACCAGTCTATATTAATATACTGATCTTGTCCCCTTTTGTTGTGTCGCGATACGTCCGACTCGGCGACAGGTGTGCTTTACTCCCGCCGATTCTTGCTATTGTATACAACGGGGGGATCACGTGATCAGTGTGATGCAAACACATTGATCACGTGATCCCGCTTTTGTCCCCCTACTTTGTGCGACGAAATACGAAGTGAGGTATACCTTTTTTGCGGGTTCCAATAGCTAGTTAGACCAGATGACTATGCGCAATTCTCAGCCGTTGCGATATTTTACTTAACTGGTCCAAATTACATTAGACGGAAACGTCCTAGGACTAAGCTTTATTTCTTATTGTAGAAAAAAATAACGAAAGAATGAATAGAATACTTCTTTTGTTGGCTGCATCTCTTCTAGAGATTCTGAGAAAGTATAAGAAAGTAATAAAACTACAGAAACTAATAAAGCTATTCACTTTTTGTTCAATCCTCCTTGCCATTGTAAGATATGGTTAGTCTACTTAAACTTTTTCTTTCCATAAAGTATTATTCGGTATTTGCCGAGATACTTTCGTTCACTAATAGATTAATTTACCTGGATGTGAGTAATTCATCCTCGAAAAGTATTCATATTGGACAATACGTTGTAAGGAGCCTGATCTACTCTAGTAGACAGCGGTGGCCTCACAGCCATGTCCTAGCTGTCGGGAGGAGCCTGAATGATCTTTTTACCAGTGCATTCGCTCAAGGCCTTATTGCCCGTATCGCGATGAAAACCAATTCGAATACAAATCATGAAGGTAGAATTGGGTTGATATTAGAAACACAAATATTTTAGGAAGAATTAAGCATTGCCTCAGCTGGCAAAATAAATTTTCGAGAGTTAATACGATTGTAACACTATAGTTGCCGCTAACCCAATATACGTGCCAATAACATGCATTTACATAGGGTAACTCATAACCTTTTACTTCGATGAAAACAATGGCGGCAAAATTTAGTCTCATTCCATACCTGCCTTTCTTAGTTCTGCAATCACTTGATCATCATTGCCTTATCGTCATCGGTGAAAATCGCAATCAGGTGTAATATGTTGATTAAAATGCAATTTATGTTTTTTTTTTTATATCTCCATAGGGTTTAAGCGCTGCTACAGTGTCGGCTCGCTCCACTGAGTTGCAGAAAACAAAACGTTAGACCTGTTATTATGATGCGATTACCGTCAACCTTGGTACACAGCACAATTTTGCACAACACAATTAAGAAAACTTGATTTTTCAGTTATATGCAAACTACTGAAACATTTGGTATCGTTATTTTCTTCTGTATAGCTTTACCCCCTCTCGTTAACCTGCAAATTTCGCGCGTTCTTGAATTTTTAGTAGTAGCTAATGAACAATTGCTGTTGATACAATGACTTGATAATGCTTCTTTATTTTTGTCATTTCACAAGATGAAATATGGTTTGACACAGAACAGATATAGGAGATCTACTCAGAGGATAAGATTTGTGCACCTTAAGGTAAACACCGCTTTGCGATAGCCTATGACAAGGATCTATATAGATCCTTTTAGAATATGTATATAGAAGTGTGTGCGTTACTAAATTCGTTCGGTGAGGGCTTTATTGGGTCGTCCATGAGTACGTTTCGAATACTGAAGGGACTTAAACGGAAATGCCACAAATAATGTTGGTTGGGAAAAGTGATTATTCACTAGAATTATAGGTCTGTCTTCCGGATGGCTCTATTTTGATACCGTGCTTGATTCGATTGCGCATTTCAGTTAAATTGCACAAGCTTCTAATGATTGAATTGCGTATTAAAAGCGCCTTTAAGGTCGATTTGGAGTTTTGTTTCGGGAAAATGAATACAACCCAAGCTCGTGAAGAATTTTCGGAATTTGTACCTACTCGCACGCTTTCGAAGTGCTGATTTCTGTTGCATCGAAAGTAAAACGCGTCAGGTCGACTCGCTGACTATGAGGACAAACTGTGACTGTAGTCGATTACAGGAAACACAAGAACGTCTAATTCAAGCATTCAAAGACATCTAGTAATCAATGATTACGGCAGTAAAGCCGACGTTTGTTTGAATTCCTCATGAGCTGACCCTCACCAAAAGATGGACCGTGTTTGCACGGCCAGTCGTCTGAAATCAAACGAGAAGACCCTTTTCTTACAAAGATGATGGCGGCCGATAATAAGTGGATAATATACAATACCGTCATTCAGAGCAGATCGTCGCTTATCTGTCATAGTGTCCTTCAAACGTGAGCTAGAATCTAGACACCGTCCAAAATAGGCGCATTTGATGGGATCGTCAAAAGTGCTTCTCCGTGAGCGTCTTTCAGACTACCAAAGTTCTAACGAAATTAAGTGTTAGCAATGATTCGATAGTTTAGGGTGAAGTACCCAAAAAGCCCGCCCAGCTATGGCAAATAAGAATGGGTCCATATTCCATGATGGAAATGCTCAGTATAAAAAAAACATACTTATGAGTTTACAGAAAATAAAGCTATCAACTTACGGAAAAATCCAGTCGAAAAGCTCTCTGAAATATGTGCAAAGGTCATAGCTAGAGACGGTCGATTTATCCTTATCAAATGATGGTTCTCAGTCAAAACAAAAAGACATATTTCGCTGTTGAAAGATTTGAACGCGCAAGCGCATGGCTTACAAGTTTGAGGTGTTAGGCATAACAATGTGAAATTCTAGGCAATCGGCAACTTTTTCTAACTACACTAAACTAGAGAGTTTAAAAACGGCGAACACAGAATGACGTGCCTGTTCACAGCGACAGCTACGTTTACAAACGTCTAGTTACCTCTACAGAAAATGTCGAAGTTTTTTAAATCAACCGCAGCGGATTGCCTGTAATGTGATGAAATTTAGAATGAACGATTTGTGTGGGCTGAAATGTGACAAAAGTTTGGCTAAAAATAAAAGCATGCGTCAAATTATTTCGCCTACTTCTGAACGAACGGGGAAAAGTGCCGCAAGTCGGGTCGTGCTAATTTAAATTTGGCCTTGTATATGTTTCATGTCAAGCGCGTGTCGTGGCTGCTGGTCAAAGGCGTCCACCTAGAGTACATTGAATTCCAATCCGCTGAAGCTATCTATACTAAAGTTTTTAGTCTTACGCGTAGCTAACTGAGCTACATAACTATAACATGACATGAAGATGTAACCTACCTTTTCAGATCGGGCTTATGTTCCCCCCGGAGATTGCACGGCATTCGATTATGGAATCGAGCAGATGCGGTATTCATGTCGGAACTAGAGTAAACAGCCAAGACTGCCTAATACTTAAAGGCCTATTGTATGCGGAGAAGAAAATACGGAATCTCCAATGCTTAGTAGACTAAAATCAAATCCTTCAATTGATAGTCCCTTGTGTAAACCACATTACATCTGCCTCAACGCTTGCTTCAAGAAGAATGCTTAAACAATGCTAGTAATCCAATGAGCATCGGTTTAGAGATGTCAAGGAAGCTCTCACTGAACTGAAGATTTTCCTCTTGAATTAGAATGCGTCAAATGGAAAACCAGAAATCGCGTAAGCTTCCGAAACTTTCAAAAAACTTCGTTTTCCAATTTACCGTGTAACACCATATGCCATCTGTGCAGTCAAAGCTTTACTCCTATAAATATGTTTTTCATTTCACTGAACAAGTGTAGTTATTCGAGTTCTCAATACAACATCGTAAAACGTTCTACCCATAGAAACAGAAGGAAATTTCGGTCTACATATGCATCCTAACGTATTGGATACTGATTATATAATCTTGAAAGATGTACCGACTCACTAACGCAAATATATGAATATATGCTGACCTTAGAATAAGCTTACTTTTTTTTTGGGTTTTTAACTTGAATTGCTAAAATATTTGCTAGGAACTGTATACCTAAAAAAAAGTTATTTATGTGTAATGCAAACGCAAGTATAAATGTACGCTTTGTTTTGGCACGCAAATTGACTTAACCTGAGGGTTAGAGTTCAATCAAAGGTCGCCACAAGGGAACACACATTACCTTATATTATAGGTTATTTATTCTAAGCGAGTATATATAATACAACAAAAAACCATTGTAGCAGTCACTACTCGTAACATACATTCACGAAATGGCGCCTAGCATCTACTCTGGCTATTCGTTCCAGATTTTTCATCAGTTACTAACGGCTGTTTATCGACGGACGTTCCAATCCGTAAAAATATCGGCGATTTTCCTTCTCTCTGGTTCTGGAAAGTCCTCAGGGTGCAGCATCACGTAGTGCCGAAGTATAGCTTCTCGACGTTCGCGCCTCTTCCTATTATACTGCCGTGCTTGCTCTAAGATTATAACCGCGATGGCTCCTATTACGAAGTGCTGTTGGAAAGCTAACATTTAAGTGCACATTAAGCAACTTGAAACCAGCAACGTTTATGACAATTTGTGTTCAGTATGATTCATTACGTAGGATTACCACGCCAGATGTCTAGGAGATTCACAGCTATTATTTTTTTGAAGGAAATGCGCCGCAAAGGTGCCTCTAACGCTCACAAAGACTGAATCAACTATTTGCAATTGGGACACCCGAGCAGAAAGAGTTTTTATATTTTTTATATTTGGAAAAACGACAGCTAAAACTATGTTTGGAATTCATTTTTGGAAGACAGAGAAACACACACATGAATAATGAACGTGAATAGTCGCGAAACCCAGTACCCTGATAGAAGTAGGCTTTTCATCAATTTATCCTTATGCTGTCTTGGTTGCTTGTAGAGATCACATTGGTTCAACATTGTTTGCAACGCCAGTTCTTACGCACCCTATGAATATACGCGACATGAATAGCTGGACACTTTCATATTTAACGATGATAACAAAGGGAAAGAAAGTTTGCAACGGGCTGAATCAGATTTTAGTAGATATATAATGGTAATTTTATGGCTTGACCTACCTGCATACAAAGGGCGCTTGTACAAAAAATTGCGTACACAGCCACCTGCAAATCCACACATGATTCCAGTACCCCAAAAAAGCATCGTTTCTGCGCTTTGATTCTTTTCTTCCCAACCTGCAAATATTTTCCGGTAGAATGGAGCCATTTCGCCCGAATCACTCATCATGACACCTGAGCTGGTAAAGTCACGAGCCTGCAAGTAAGTTCGATGATCTTTTGCATACAAACACGACGACGGAGATTTTCCTTTTTTTGTTTGTTATTGTTGTGTTTATTATACAAGGCTAAGATGGTTGGATTCAATTGGAGGGCTAAGTTGGACCCATCAACCATCGGAGAGGTTGGTCAGAGTTAAATTTAACGCGCGCATTAATTCAGGTTCTACAGTGAATATAGCAGATAAATTACAGTATATATATATATATATATATATATATATATATATACATACATATATCTTATTGTGAAAGTTTGGGCAGCCAAGGTTCAACGTCGTCGTTCCTCCTAAGTCAACAATACGCCTGTAGGACAGCTAAAAACTTCAACCACTACTAACAACAAGTACCGGAAAAGTTTTTCCAGTAACAAGAACCTGAAGATGTAGGTCAGAATTCTTGTTCCGCGTACGGTGTGGTTTTCATAAATAGATGTAAGTTTAATTAACAATATTATTTTTTAAAAGTGATTTTAGGCCACCAATTCGGCCAAAAATGAACCAGACTTGAAATGAAACATTAATCTGAGTAGGCTCGGAAAATTTTGATATTTACACATTATTTCTTTCAACTCAAAAGTACAAAAGAAACGGTTGAAAAAGAGTGCTACGTATGCTCCAAAATCCGAAATGTAGTATACTGCGTGTAGAGAGACGTCTTAGTAAAAAAATGATTTCTGTCATCTTCCAGGTAATTTCAGTAAAGTAGCTACGTATACAGAAGCTTCGTATTCCATCTAATTTGGCTACTTTTTCTCATGCTTTTTCTCTAGTATGTCCAGATGTTTGCAAATCTAATAAAATTAGACGGAATAAACATAAAATGTAGGTTGTCACCTTCACGCTGATTTTTTGAGGATTTTCTTTCTGTTACAGTGTTACTTTTCATAGTGCTTATCAAAAATGGGGTTGATCGTTAGATGTTGCTTATAACAACAATTCATATAGACTTTTCGTAAAAATGTCTACAAAATCTCGTAAGTCGAAATCTAATGTACAAACTGTAAGCTCTAGTTATCGTTGACAAAGTAAACTAATCTTACGTGTACCAAGAGATGTAAAACTAATGCATAAAAAATAATAGCACTTTTGCGGCGGAACTTTATACCAGCTCAAGAAGTTGCCGTGGGATTGCCTAAAAATATTTTCGTGATAAAAATATTTATATTTATAATAAATTTATTTCATCGTAAGAAAATTCTAAAGCTTAAAAATAGTATTAGAACGTGGCAGCGCTTTTCTGGATGGTGTTCGAAATTATCTTGCTGAATTATTCTGATAAGTTTAAGTTTGGGTTTTTAGAACATGTAGAGAATGATGTAAAATTTAGCTTTCAGTGAAGGCCCCATAACCGGGACGTTAGAAAGGACAACTAAGATCAGGCTCCACCAAGCAGATGCCCCCTGTGCAAAACAAGTGTCAGAGAGGTGGAATCGCCAAAACATCAGGATGATTAGCGCCGTGTCACTCAGATACTGTCACACAACGAAATCTTGTAGCGCTTAGGACGTTGAAAATAGCATCGATACTATAATCCATATAGAAGAAAAGTAGAAATCAAAAATACTCTATATTTGACTATTCAATAATGTTGCAAGTAGTTGCAGGGTAAGTGAGTAATAAAAAGGGCTCGGAAGTATCCCATCGAAAATTTTGGATGGATAGTGATTTCAACGGATAAACGCGAAAGAAAGATAGAAAAAAGGCAGGCAAATTATCGCTCGTTGGTTTACAAGGTATTCACCACACCTAATGCTCATACTACGTGTATAACAATCTTTAAATGGCTGTCACTTCCGCAAATGTATATCCCTCACGATGAGCTTTTAATAAGGAAGTAGCTGAAGTATGGTAAGTACAAAACGAGCAATAGAAATTTGTACATTGTTTACTGGAAGCGCAGCGACATTTGAGAATCGAAGGCACGTCTCTGATATTTTGTACCCCTCTTTCCATAAGGCCACGTATGCACGTGACCTTAAGGAGATCCCACGAACATAGTTTGCATACATTTATCTATTATACTATGAGCATTGAATGAATGACCGTGTAGTGGCATAATGTTGTACTTACGTAAGGGTTCATCGCTTGCGCTGTTATTGTGGTAAAGCACTGGATCAGAACTAACATCGGTGACCACGAATAGAACGATTGCCAAGATTAAAACATCGCAAAGCGCGGTACTAACCCGGTAAAACCCTAAGCGGGACAAATGTTTCTATAATATGTATATTTATGTTTATTTTACATTTATATTTATATATATATTTATGAACCTAAGACGCCCCGTGGAATAACAGAGGCACTTCATAATGGTTTACAATCTTCATTTATTTCTCTTACAATCGAAATGTGCAGCACGCATCAATAAACCACACACATGTATTTTTTTAAGAATAAATGAAATATATGGAAGAATACAGGGAGTGTTTGATCCAGATGAATTTTATGCGTTTCATGATCTAAATATTACTTCTAATATTCTATTTGATTTTCGGCCAAATTACGTTCATGGCGGTGAGACCTAAATGTGCTTATTCATAGTTGTTTGGACCGAACAGCATAATAATTTCTTCATTGTTTACATATAGTTCAAATATTGTTATGAGATTGGACAAATGACTGATTATTGTATCACATATTTTTAAATAAAGGTGTTTTTAGTTTGTATTTTACCAGTAGATCAGCTAGGCTTGAATTAAATCAATCTAATCACACTTCATAGAGTTAAAGACAGACATCCACACCTTGACTAACGAATTACCATTTTCTTACAATCCGAACGTGTCCTTTCAGTTCCGTTTTTCCACTTGTAGTTTCTATGCTATTACGTATCGTATCCGTTATGAAAAGGTTTCTAGGTAATTTTCCGTGATTGATCAATTTCTTGTAGTTCTAGTGAACATTTTGATGCACTTAAGCTCCTCTTTCTATACGTACTGAGATAAAATACAAGGAACATTAAAAAGAAATACACAAATGCCGTTACCACAGTGAGTGAGTTCAAAATGGGATAGTTGCAATCATATAATAGTGGCAAGGTCATATGAATGCCGATAACGGCAAACTGCACGATTTGAAATAGAGTGAGATAGCGTTTCCAGCCGAGATATGGTCGAAAGAATGGAAATGATGACAGAAAATAGTATGTGTACATAAGGATCTGTTCCGTCATATTGAACACGACCATCAAACAGGCCTGGCCGTCGATTCCGTATTGGATCCCGCACCACGGCAAGATGATAGCAAGGCAATGATGCGATACGTGCAGGAAAGTAACCTGGCTGTATTTCTTACGCAGCACAAAAAACACCGTATCGAGAAACTCGAACATTCGCACAAACATATAGCTGTAGTTGATCCGCAGGATGCTCAGGTCTGGGTTAGTCCTATCCAGACCCTGACAGAACCAGCTGTACCCGCCACCAAAGTAGGTCTTCGTGCCAAGGTTATACAGGAAAAACACATTGACAATGATCAGTAGGAAATTATACGTGCGTATAACGCCTAGAAGTTTGTATTCCTTTCGGTTAATCATATACTGCGGGAGAAGTACTTTTACGATGCCGATGTACAATCCAAGAATGTAAAACAGCAGTCTCCAGTTACCGTGGCCAAGCCAGTCGGCAGTGCGCGCGTCTTGAGGGGGCACATATCGAGCCAGCGACATTATATACAGTGTTTGTAAGATTACAAACGTGCTTTTAATAGTTAAAATCGTTTACGCAACAGCATCGTGCCCGGTGCATGCAGACTGTATGGTGACGTCGTGACACAAAGCTAATAAGACGAATCGAGCTGTGATAGTCTGTCTCGTTTTTCTCGCAAGTTTCCGTGATCATAGACAAAGAATCCGTTCTACAACGGAGTCGACAGAACTGAAATTTTATTAAGAATTAATAATTGCAGTCATATGGCCCAGGAACTTACTTATCGAACGTTCCTTAGTTTAAATTAAACACGTATTAGATTTACATCGTATTTATAGTAGGGTGTAAAATTATCTAATCTATCAAACAATTTTATTTAAATCATTAAACATAAAGTTTATTATAAGATAGTAATTTTCAAGGTACGCGCCAGCAGTTTATTACGCGTACACCGTTGGATTAAGGTAATATTTTAGTACTTTCTTTATTTTAATCAATTATAAAACATGCATCAGTAGTTCATGAAAGGCAATTTTAGTGCCACGAATGAGGTAAAACAGGCACACCAACGTCCTAAAGAAAGAAAGGTTCAAATTTTCGCCATCACTACTTAGGCCTATTACATTGATGTATTCCTCGAAAATTTGTGTCATTCTACAGATCGCTAAGTATTTCTATGATTTTTTTAGACTTGGATAGGTTGATAGACATTTATTAATTCTATATTTGCCGCCGCTTCACGGTATCTTACCAAGTGTAAGCAATTTTAACCCTAATTCTGTCACTTCGTGCGATCGAGTCACCGGACACAGTTACACACAAATGCGAATCTTCTTCATAATACGGTTGACAGCGGCACTCCAGCGATAGATTATATCAAATATATAGAAGTTACTCACCTATATGGACCGCACACTAACCTAAGGTAGAAGTATCATAGACCACATTACATTGCTTGGATGCTGATTCGTCACGGGATTAGGAGGCGAAATGACAGAATAATGCTTAGACGAGATCTGGATGAGTTGACCGATAACGGAAACAAGGGACGTAATTTTCGTCGGACTGTTTTGCTTGCAACTAGGGAGCTCGAGCTTGCCACAGCTGCGCCGGATGTTCTGCCCATCCGGACCGCTGGATGAAAGTAAGTTTAAACTAGACACAATTTTTCACGGAGATCATTCTATACAAATTAAAAAATGACACAAAATGTAATACGGCTTAACAAAACGACTAATCTAGTTTATCCATTTAAATTCTAGTACAGATTAAACCATTCCAACGCATTAGAAGCCTATATATCTTTACCTGCCAGCACTCTTTCTTAACAACGAAGGAAACAGACGTTTACGTCTCAAAATCTACCAGGTGCCATAGAAAAAATAGACGAAAAGACGAAAGTTAAAAGCTAGATTTCGTAACAGAATAGCCCCTTCTAGACAGCACGGAACACATAATTGCAAACGACGCAATTCATCAAATCAAGATGTACCCCGGTTAGCAAATTAGACCCCTCAAACCAAGGTATACTTTAAAAAACAGATATAACGTTTTTATGACCTTTATTAATTTGACCAAAAAACCACACGCAAATAATTTTGTGTATTTTCATTAAAATTTGTCTATCGCATTAAGTACACACTTACATTACTATAGAGCTAGTTCAAGCTAGTCAAGTAACAATTGGTAAAAGATAGCAATAGTTATGCGACAATGACAGAATGTACTACCTCAGTAAATTTCGAGTTCTACGACTGGCACACCAGCCGTTAAGCACTGCTATAAGTAGTTGACTCCACACCGGTTCGTCTACGCGCAGTTTCGAACGTAGACCACCCTGCGTCCCTATCTGGCAGGTAAATACTTCACCATTATTACGGAGACACTTGATCGGATCATTGGGCAAAATGCCGTATGTCTGGTTTTAACGAACTTTGAGTTCTATAAAAAAAGTTAATTGTTCTTCTAACTAGACAGTTTCGGGGTCATGTGTCTCAGGTAATGTAAGTCGCTTCGACGTTCGTACCATTATTGAAAAGCTGAGATTTGACCGTAGTACATGCACTAAACTGCCTCTATTCAGACTTGAGATAAAGCGTCTTGAAAATAAGTAAGATGCCCGTCAAAATTCGTTATATTTTATAATTTTGTTATAATACCAGCACAAATGCTGCCCAGACCCGTAAAAATATCGACTGTTTTTAGTTAGAAGAAACGATTTTGCTAATTTCGTTCTGGAAATTTCAACCTGGAAGGTGCTCTTCTCGTAGCGGTCGACCACCTACGGAGAAGTTGATAACGTGATTGCGGAACTAAGTAGCCACCACCAAATAGTTTGAAGAAAGCTGGCCACATGAAGAGCTCCATGTTTTGGGTTGTGCCATTGACCTTTCACTTGTGAAACTCTATAAGAATGCAACGAAATCAAGCCATCTGTAAAGTAATCTCTGATTAAAAATAAATCACATAATACACAAATTGAAATAAGTGAAAAAAATGTACCTTACAACAGGTGACAAGGCTCAGATTGATGCTACGTGTTTTAGTGAAATTAGAAAATTTGAAAAAGGAACGGAAGGACATCGTGAGGTCCTGCCATATGGCGAAACGATCGATTCGGACCTCGACTGTCAACAATTAACAAGATTACAATCAGCCACGGAACTAGTGAACAGAAAAAGTATAGTCTTTCAACATGATAATGCTGAACAATATTTACTTTGGGAAACCTGACAGAAATTAAGAGAACATTTTTTCTGGAAAAAGTTTAACTTATTTATCGTATAGTCCGGATCTTACACAATCAGATTGTCGCCTGTCTCGGTTTTTACAGAATTTCCTTAATGGTGTTAATTTAGTTTCAATGGAAGGGTATAAAAAACACGTATTGCTATTTTTCGCCTAGAAATCACAAAGGTTCCACAGATAAAATCATAGTACTACTAAAAAAATGGTTCATAATACTAATACTGTAATATTATTTTGAAACATAATAAATATTTTTGGCTTGAAAACGATCAATAATTTTGAGAACCCCCTTTTGCGGCATTCGATAAATTGCTATCTAAACGTTATATAATATGTAAATTTCTGGATATTAAATAACACGTTAGTACAAGATTTTTTTAAAAAAGTAACTGAAAAAACTACAACGTTTTTAAGGAGTGTAATATCTCTACATTTTGCAAAAAACCTATATACCTTTTGCTTGAAATGAATAAGGAAGCAGTAAGTTCTCAAAATCATTCGTTACAGGATAATAAAGAGAAATACGACTAAAACAAAAGTCTGCGGCTCTTTTTCTTCGGAAAATCATAAATTCATTCGGCATTGTTTAACGGCTTAAAAAAGTGGTTATACCCAGCACATATAGTTTCAGTCAGTGTCATTTCACTGGTCTGGCGAGCACATATGGCTTCAGCAAGCTACAGCTCTATGGTATTTGATATCTCACGGTCCAATGCCTTCTTCTTTGTGCAGAAAAAATATGTCACTAAAGCCACACGCTTGCCAGTCGTCCAACATGGGCCAACTTAAAACTAGGGTATTGCGAATGCGTTTTCGTACAGGTATTTTTTGTGTGACAATTTCTGTATTCGAAGCGGAGAGCCACTCATTAAGGCGATTCAAAGAATTTGTTAATGACGAAACCAGGAATCGCTATTTGGAGTGTTGCCAACGGCACAAATACTAGAGAAGAAGTCAGAATGAAAAAAGTTATTATTTTTAGGAGGTAATTATAGCAAAGCCTGGTCGTGAAGAGAGGGTACCACATATGGTTCAGAGGGCTTCGGGATGCTTCATTTCCATTTTTGAATACCTAAATAAATTTTCAAGCAAGCTTCTCCTTTCGATGTTAGATTATGAGCGTGAGATTAATCTCAGTGGTTAAAAAGGACCAAATTCGAAACTATCTTGTCGTTTCGGATATGTATATATATATATATATATATATATATATATATAGCACTGGTTGCTGTGAATAGGCAACGCTGTTAATATAGATAGAAATCCTACTTTCCAAAACCAGCTACAACAACTACCGCAGACAGACATCGTATTTGGAGAATCGCTTTCGTGCGAAAAAGTAAATAACCGATCATCGATTCGGTTACTTTAACTTTCGAGTCTGCAGTCCTTTCAAGGATTAACGATGACCTAAATCAATCAAAACCAATGCCAGTTATGTTTGCATTATGGTAAAAGAATTAAAATCAACGATTTTCGTACGTATCTCAACTGGGCTCAACTCGAATACATGTGCCAACGAATACCACAGGCCAATTTGATCATTCATGATGCTAATGAATAACTCAATTTAACCAGGACACACTTGTTTCCTTTCGTGCTTTTCATAAAGGTCAGGGATAAAGCTTCAGCCGTATTCAGGTATATTTAGATAGCCCCGTTTTCGTTTATAGTCAACTTGCCACCTTGCTAATAACCAGTCGTGCAAATGAACTTATTGCCGATATCCAGGAATAGAAAATCATAGAGGATATTCATAGGGCTGTCACACTACATTGACTATAGCCAACTCACGCTCCGACCGAGATGCACCAACCCTGGAGGACATTTGTTACATAGTCCGTAGTAAAATATCAGTTGACGGTCAGCTTGTCATCGCCTATGAGGCCGGCCGACCCGATTCGCGTACTTCTTGCAAGCAGATCAATATACGACCAAAACCGACCAGCTGATGCTAAAAAAGCCGGATCGCAGTACCTAATAAAACATATGCATCAAAAATGAGACTGTCAAGAAGACCTGCAGACGAGGCAAACTCGGTTAAAACATTCATAAAATGGCGCGCAAATGACTTGCTGCTCTTTTCTTATTTAGGGAACTTTTATTGCCACTTGTACCGCCTGCCTCGTATCGCTAAATCTTCACGCTAATGAACCGTACCAAAAGACCTGAACGTATGAAATTGTTAACCCAAGTTTAGTGAACCCGTCAGAAAGCGAAACGACGACAAGTTAACATAGATGCGCGCCTATATGTGGAACTCTGTAGATGTCTGCAGTCGATCTAAAACATACCCCTCATGACGCCCCAGCCGGTCTACTTAAGACACCAACTGGATAATACAACTTCATCTAAAATGGGTCCGCGGGTTAATAACGTAATGACGATATTTTTATATACCTTATTCAGATTATAGTAGCTTGAATATCGGCGAGCGTATTCGGGGGCCGAACTAGTAAACAGCGTGACCCGGAATTTTTGTTTGTAAAATTTGACAGTGGAAGCGTCTTGAGCGTTGTTAGTTGTCTTCCTTGTTTTGTCTTTCTCTATTGCTAATGTATTTGTCGCCATTGATGATGGCTGCTCGTCTGTGCGAAGCAATAACATGGTAGATGTTCAATAGAGAGAACTACCGACGTCAGACGTACGCAAACACCGAAAGAGATGACTAAACAGCAATTATCGCCACGAAAAGTTTAAATCTAAAAGGAGTTTTCCTACGCAAACAAGCCACGAACCTCTATCACCGTTAAGGCTTGGCTAGTGGCAACTGGACAATGGTAGAAGGGTGCTTACAATTCGTAGTCTATTAGGCCTTCCAACTAGCCTTAAGGAGACTACACGCGCCATTTTATCAGTTAATGGGACCAATAAGCTGTCTCCTTTCGTTCCTTTCTTTATGGGAATAATTCGCAAACGATAGTGAGGAACATTCAATCATGCTTAATTGTATTCCCTTCCGTTTATGATCGGTTAGGCATACAGCCGCCTTGTTCAGGAAATGTACAAGCAGTCAGTAAGCCAAAGAAGCTGAGAGCTGGTCGCGTCTTCCAGCTAAGGCCAATACTAAAACGACGATGAGAATTAGGGCCGTTGTTACTATTATTAATATTGTCATTGACTGGAAACGTGCTTTCAAAGTGCGATGTATTATAGCCGAGCGAACTGATCAGCAAACAAAAAAGGCGGAAGAATTTTTAATTTTACTTTATTCAATTTGCACCGACCAATCAGTGGGGCAAAATTGTACAAATAAATATGTCAATGGGTGAGCAAATCAGTCTAACTAACGTAGCGAATATAGTTCCGCTATCGTCTTATTTGTCGCGTATAGGCACATATTCATAGAGCTTATACATTTTAAATCTAGAAATGACACAGCATTGCTCAGATGTTTATTGGGTGTTCACAGGAAGCAAAGCAGCCTCTGTTCACAAAGAAAAAAAAAGCTAACTCCATCATAAAAGTAGACAAGATTCTCTGAGATGATTTCGGAAACAGATAACTTTGCGACTATTCACTGAATAGTTTATTCCACGTTGGCTGCCCTTATTCTGTTCTTGTATCCCATCTATGATGGTAGAACCTGTATCGTTTCCTATTTTTTCTTTATTGACGACCGTATCAAACGTAAAGGCAGAGAGGGTCGCTCAAAGGCAAATAGGTGCTCAGTTAATTTTAGCAGTACGTTAAAACTGATTTAATTATTTGCAGCATTTTAAGCACGAACGAATATACAGGTCGCAGTATAAACTATCCTGTACTCGTTTATGATGACGAGGCGGGCGCTACAGTGAACAGGTTCTTCCGACGTCTGCCGAACACTCGTAGCGATCACGTCGACAATACGCTATAAATGTAAGACGACATAAACAATGACGCGACATAAAAAATGGCACACTTTGCCGCAAGCTAAAGACTCGAACAGGCCGTGAACGTTGACGCTTAAATAATTATGGCTATTAGATAATACCTATATGTCTGTTAGTATTTATGGTAGCAGCACTGTGCTACTAGCACGACTTTCCTAAGAAACGAACGATGATTATTCCAGAAAGGAAAAGGCAGAGACGGCGTAAGGCTGACACGTCAGGGATAGTTAAGCATATATATTATATGACTAACTATCCCTGAGGCTATATAGGTGAGACATGTTATATATATATAAAAAGAAGTGAATATTGCTAGAACGGCGTCTAGTAATGTTCGCTTTTCGGCGTAGGGAAGGGCACTGTCCGCTATGCTAATTACAGAGCTGCACTTTGCCGCGAGCTTCCCCCTAGCAGATCTGAAACAGATTTGGGTGTAGTGAAAATTTAGTTAAATTCCATTTAAACTTGTTTGTTGCTATTGAGGTTTTGTATTACGAAATCTTTAAAGGATCGTTGTGAGCTCGTGCTGCGCCGTTGTGAGAAGAATCCAATCGTTTCGATGTTGCGTACTTCGAGGCTCGACTCTGGTAGGCGTTGTCATAGAAGGCGGCGAACATGACGAGGAAGTAGATATAACTCGCAATTACAAGAATCGAATTTTGCACCGGGTATCCACAGTCATGTACGATTGGCACAGACATGTGCACGACGACAACGAAAAATTGCACGATCTGCAGTAATGTCAGATAACGTTTCCAGCTGAGATAGGGCTGAATGGAAGAGAACGATGCTAAAAAGTAGTAAGAATACATCACAACATGCACGGCCATGTTGATTAGAACCATTAGGCAGATTTGCCCGTCGAGGCCGTAAGCAAGGCCGTACCACGGTAGGCCGACGGCAATACAATGATGCGTTATGTTCAGGACGCTTGCTTGATTGAACTTCTTCCGAAGTACGAAGAAAACTGTGTCGAGAAATTCGAAGATTCGAACAAACATGTAATAGTAATTGAGCCGCAGTACGGCCACATCTACGCGATCCTTGCCTATACCCTGGCAGAACCAGTTGTACCCTCCACCGAGATACGTCCGCGTGATGAGATTGCAAAAGAAGAATGCGTTTACGCCTACCAACAGTAAATTGTACAGGCGGATAATGCCAAAAAGTTTATACTCCTTACGGTTAGCCATATACTGTGGTAGCAAGACTTTTACGGTGCAGGTGTACATTCCGAGAATGTAGAGAAGAGTTATCCAGTCTCCGGCACCGAACCACTGGACTGTTCGCGGGTCCCGCGCAGGCAGGAATCGGGTCAACAGCATTGTACTGATTGGCCTGCGAATGGAGCTTTGTTACTTTTCATACAAATAGGGTATTCACTAAGTACACGCATGCACACACACACACACCTTAGGCTAAACAGACTATTTGCGCAACTATGATACCGTATCGCTTCTTCAAGCAAAATCCTTTGATGAGTGTTTCGAGCCGGCCAGTAAAGTTCACTTGCGGCCCTCAAGTGTGTCCTCCTCGCACAATAACGACCGCCTTGTCAGTGGTTATCGGTGAGTCTGAAGCTTTGCCCGGTCCTCGGAAATCGCGTCATCCAACAATAAGGAAACCTGATGTATTTTAGATATTAAATTTAGAAACGATACTACAGCGCTTTCATGTCTACTCCTTCTTTCCTCAAAGTACCTGGGCACATATGGCAGATATCTTCAACGGTACATCCCATTATTTTCAGACACATCTCGTCAAGGGTAGAATTAGGTGGTGTTCATTGTATCAGCGAACGTGTTTGTGTATATAGTAGTAACCACAACGAACAATCCACTCGAAGGTAGACAATTTTTGATGTTTCAGATAACGTCTTTACCAAACGCTCTTCTTTTTAACTCGGCCACTACAAGTTTCTTTTCGAGGGAACATGCACGATTAGCGCCATATAGGACGTGCACGAGATACTGTTCCGTAAGGTGAAAGGAAAAAAATAGATAAATACATTAAACTTCTGACTTAAGCAAGTTCAGCTATAAGATATAACATTATCGCATGCACGTATGTGGATACATATAGTTATGAACAATAACGGAAGCCAAACGATTTATTAGTTGTGTTTCAAATTAACCACATTTCCTTTAAAAACTGAACGGAAAAACTAAACTCAACAAGGACCGCTTTTCGATTTGACTATATCTGTAAATTATCATCTAATTATGACTGTAATCGGTAAAGATGGCAATACCAGATTTGTCGATAGAAAAACACACTGTACGTCATTGGTAGTGAATTATTCGCTTTTAATCTATCATGGTGTTTTCATCGACCTTCGGATGGACGAAACCTCTTTTCATGTCGAACTTCAGGCTGCGTCCCAGCACGAAGTCCTATCCTCCCGACTCAAACCTATACAATTACGTGTCCCCAGAATTACCCACTGAGCTGTCTAGAGCAAACCTAGCCATTCTTTTATAACTAAGTGTTTGATTTCAATGTTAGCTGTCCACTGTTATTAAATAGATGAGGAGGACCCCTGTCGCACCAATAGACAGATCTATATTCTGTTGCCTATAAGAAGATTATGTTTTTTTACACACAATTGTGGTAGTTGTATATTATTTTGTGGTAGTGACGAATGTATGTTGTCGAATGTGCGGACATGCACTCTCTGCGGCAACCATTTACGAATCATCAACGAAAGATTCTATTACAGACGCATGTATTTCCTAAATAGATGTTCCCAGCTGCATACCCAGTATTGCCGTTAGTCATCGCTTCAGATGCGGTCTCGCTCGGTGTCGAACAAGACCGCTACGCGTCTCTAGGTTTAACGGGTTGCCACTACGCTACCATGGAAACATTTTTCGTCGCTTGTCAACCGATTAATATGTTAACGTTAATCTTCATTTGTATGTGTGAGGTATTTTGGGGTCTGAGCTGACATTTCTGACCAACAACATTTCTACTAAAAAACCCATTGGCCTCAGCGCTGTGAAATCGATTTCCTACCAAAAGTGCAATGACATTTGTGCGTACCTCCAAAAAAAAGCAGTATCGGGCTAAATATGTATATAGTAGGCAGTATAGCTAGAAAGATATTTTAGAAAACTTTATGGAAGACCACATATTTCGTGCAAGTCAATTAGGCACAGATTATCTATGTCAATGGTTGCGTCGAATGAAATAATGGACAGATTGGCCTGATCTTACCATAGCCGCATTAAATTTTGCACTACGTTTTGCCACCGCGTTAAATCTGAGGTACAGGAGAGAACAATATTGCCCGTCACGTGAATTAACAGCTGTGTCTTCATCTTGAGCGAAGGTTGCAATAATGGCGTCCTTGTATCGAAGTTCTCTATGCACTTTTTCCATCTACTGTCTATAGTAATTAGTTATAAAATAGTAATAAACGTGATTAGATACGCAACGGAAAACGTGCCTATAGGCTCGTAAAGCGTTGAAGAAACGAGAGCGGCGTGCTGCTACGCTGATTGGACTAGTGCTGACTACTAAACCTATTTAGACTTACAAAAATACATAGCTTTTATGATGCCTATATTTAGTAACTGATGATTATAGTGTATAAGGAAGACGATGCTCGAGCTGCATTATATTAAGCATACGCTTCATGAAAAGGAAAACGAGCGTATCAGGTGTAGCTTTTTGAATATTTCATATGACTAAAAAAAAAAAGTTGCCTAAGCAGCTCTATGGCCAAAAGCGGGAAGTGATGTTTCTGTAGTATTTTTTTTTTTGTGAATTTAATTGACGAGGAAGCTTGCTCTGTCCTCATTCGGTCGTCGTGTCTATTAGTTCGCAGTTGGGACTTGTTGTTTTTCAATAGCAACGCGGCGATTTAACGTCCAGCTACGAAATAATATTAACGTAATCCTCGGCATTCAAGGATAGAATAAAAACGTTTTTCCTCAAATGGTAACATTAGCAAATGGAAATAGTTCGCTCTGCATAACAATGCGCTAACGTACGTCATAATAACGTTTGTATTATTTCGTCCTTCTATATTTATATTATATTACATATCTTTACTGTTACACAAGTGATTGCATGAAACGCGCCAGTCGACAGGACACTCAGTGCCGAAGCGTCCCTGCTGTTATTCAAATTAAAACACTTGAACAATAGAAGTTTGTTTCAAAAGCAGCAAAGCGGTAAAATAAAACTTTTTTCGTTCATAATTAAAAGTAAATTATTCTGTAAAGACTTGGGTCACTGTTAGAATTTATTTTGTGCCATAAGATAGCATGTTTTACAATTAGCTGAAGCCATTGAAATCGTTTAAATACTTAGGATTATCAAGTGTCCCATCGAGACATAATGCAAGCAACTAGCGCTGGCGAAATTTTAACCCAACAAAAAACACTCAAGCCTTATTGATAGATATATTAAACAATTGAAAATATCAGACACTTCAACGGCGGTAGCGCAAAATAAAACATTTGAATATTAGAAAAAATCATTGATTATTAATCAATTATTTTATTGCAGCTAATAAAAGTTAATCGATAGGGGCAAATCATGCATTTATGTTCAATATAATATCTGCCGAACCCTTTCAGCTATCGGTTCTCCTTTATCGACGGTATACGATCAATATTTTGTGTGATTACCGCTGCCATTTGGCTACCCAATATGGGCAGTAGATTAAACAGTACAGGTACGGAGACAGCAGTATCGGTTATGTATAATTATATGGGTGTTTAAGCTTTTCGATAGGGAAATAACCATTCTCTCTGCAATTGCACTACCCCACTCGCAATATTCCCTCTGCGAGACAGTTACTCAGTCACTTTTAACCTGTCGATACGAACAATTTCGATTTATCTTCAAATACAGATTGAAATCCAGTTAAGGTATGATTGTATGCGAATGTTACTATACTTTATTCCGGGACTCGCTGTCAAAACGTCGACTGCTGTCCGTTGCACTCGGTTTTTTTTTCTTTTTTCTATAAAATATCATGGTCAGTTAAATATACGCATGATGTAGAAATATTATTTCAATCAGAACATGATTACTTTGAATTTGTTCGTCGTGTAGAATTGGTCGCAGGAGTGCCAGCGATTTTGACATAAAACTACAAAAGTCAGTAATAACGGCTCGATTAAAAATAGATACATTGTCTACCTGGAAAAATACAAACGGCAATAATTATGACCGGTGCAGTCCGAAAGTACACGTATTTACTCGCTGGCGACTACCGGTACTGAGACTACTACTAAACCCCTATCTTCTAATAGGAGATAAATAAATTTCATAACATAGACGTATTATTTACCCACTTACAAACAATTCGTACGAAACCCGCAGATTACTCAATGCATCGTAGACATGTTTATACTACACCCATATTCTGCAACTGCATATTCGTGTTTCACGAAATGGCCTTCTGATGACCACCCCATTCCCTGGAGGCAACCAACACAAAACGCAGGGGGCCAGAGCGAACGCTTGTTCATCTTTCTGGCAAATTACTAATAGAACAATGACCTTTGTTATTAGCTGTCGTCGACCCTGCTTGCCACCTCTACCGGCGTAAAGCGACGTGCTTCTTTGCCTCAAAGGTATAGTTATGAACTTGTTAACTGTGAACCGTCCTGAAAACTACATGAGTGCTTGGCGTGTTAAACAAAAAAAAAAACTGACTAGAAGTTCAGCTTTGATTGTTCTCAGCTAAACTGGTTATGCAATAAAAAGAATATAAAAAAGACACTGTCCCGTGAAATTAAGTAGATTGAAACACAGCACAGATATGTCGTTACAGATTTGGATGTTCGTGCCGCCGTCTGCCTAACAGTGCACGTAACGGATCGCTTCTGGACTAATTGATCATCGTCTTGAAACTGTGAGGTGTGTACGCCAAACTTATAAGGCAAAATTACTAACGAATTTATCTTCGGGTAACTTGTGGATGTACCGGCAGAATCTTCTCTATGTTTCAACTAATAACTGAACTTCATCTTCTCAGTGTAGCCAAGTGCATCTAGATTCGGAATACAGGCAAATTTAATCATAGGCGGTGGGCCGCACATCAAAATAATAGTATCATCGCTAGGTGGTGGCAAATTGGTTTTCATCATGTCGGCATTGACAAATCCAATACCGCCTTTCCAACCTTCAGTTGGCCGATCTACAGTGTAATATACTGAGACCCTATCGGGATACTGGCGTGCCCAAAGCTCGAGGTCTTCTCGGCATAAGATATCGTCCGGCGTTTGATTAGCGTAGATAAGTTTGAACTGCGTTTTGTCACTGGGATTCTTGAGTGCGTGCTTGATCAACTGATACATCGGTGTCAGACCCGAACCTCCAGCAATCATACCCACCTAAGTAAGATAAAGTAAGATAGAGCTAATAGACTATGTAAACGAAAACTGTGCGCTAAGAGTTCACTCAAGAGACAAAGCTAGTAAAACTATAATAACGCTGGCCTGTGTTCTAGCTTTCGGTATCGATGGACAACGCATGCTTGCAATGGCCTTGATCCGCCGCATCAACCTACTAGCATATCGACAGTTACGGAAAGTAAATACCTGCCAAGCCTATTGACTATCTGCACAACGGCCTCACAGAAATCGATAGTGTATGCGATGTACGTACGTACCTTGTTGGCCGTTCGTATCTCTGGAGGCGTTTTTTTGTTCGCTCTGATAGTGAATGTTCCTGGACCCGAGTAAACCAATAAACCGTTAGGCCCCCGAACATCAATACAATCACCAATCTTCATGTTTTCCAAATACTGAGTCATTTTACCGCCATCAGGAAATTTGGGATGTGTATTTTTGAAGTACACTTTAACCACGAGATCGAAGTAGCCTGTTTCGTCGTCAGATGATACTGGTGTATAGGCGCGAATGACGAGCTCATTATTCGTCTGAGAAGAAGACCACACCAAAAAAAAAGTTTTTTTATTTATTAATTGACTATTAGTCAACGATCAGTTATTATTGCTAAGAAATGCTGCTTATTCAAACGCAAACACTGATAAGAACAGGAACCTGTCATTTTTCATAGGACATTTTTCACGCGGTTTTCGGGACGCACCCTTCTAACTATACAAAGTGTCCCAATTGTAAGTTAAATAAAGTGACATTTTAAATAAAAACGTGATATTTTCTTAGTAATATAAATATTGTAATATATCGACGATTTACTAGGTAAGCTTATAGCATTGTGAAATTTCTTTGTAATTAAGTATCTTATAGTCATTGCGCAATACGATGTTCGATAAATATCAACCCTTTAACGTTTCACTGGTAGCATAGATGTATTATTTTAGCTATCGTAGAACTCTACCAGTTCTATCAATGCGATCTGTAAACATTAGATTTCTATCTTCATACTAGGAAATATAAGACCTTCTTGTTGTCTTTGAGTCAAGTGTTGAGCGTCAGTTGAGAACTTTTTTGTGAACCCATTGATGCCTTGTCATGTTTTAGAGATTCTTCAACATCTTCGCAATCGCTGGTAAAAGGCAGTTACTGATACCATGAATCTGTATTGTTTTCAAACGGTCGCAACATCCGTTTCTAAGTGTCATTCATCTTTGAAAGATCAAGCGAAGTTAAACCCAAAATTATTGCGATGGAGTCACAACCTAGAATTACAGGTGCGCCACGCTTGGTCAGAAATCAAAAACTGGGTCGCTCTTACAAAACGCATTTTCCTCTGATAGAACTGTCGCAGACGCTCCCCTTGTCGGCCCACTTGGAAACTGACAATCATAAAATTGATATAGATGATTTGGAAAATATTTAAAAAAAATATTCATCCAGTGTCAAAACTAAGAGGCTTTAGGTCGGAGGAGTATAATGTGAAAATTGGTACACACACTATAGGATCATGTTATTGGAGGCAACCAAGGTTGATTTACAGGCTTGGGAATACATATTAAATAGAAAAGTCACGTAAGTTCCACGCATTGTGTTAGAAGGAGCAATAATAGAGCAAGCAGACGAATACAGCGCTACTGTAGATAAGACTTGTTCTCTGTCAGGACTGGCATTCAAATTGAATAGGGCTTCCAACAGTTTTCTCACAAAAACCTCAAAGAGGATAACATTCAGTCAGTTACAAACAAGCGTTAGACTTCCCGTCTCGTAATTTTCGTACGATTCTCACGTGTGTGCCTTTTTCTACGTACACGGAGTCTACAGCTTTATGTATTCGGTCGACGACAGGCCCAAATCGCTCCCCGTCACTTTTTAAGAACGTGAGCAAATACACCCGTTAGCTTTATTTGTGTGCGCCCTACGAAGCTCGAGAGGAACATGGCAACAGTCACTACTTCCTAGGCGTGTTCTAGAAGACAGCAGAGTTAGACAACTCGAGCTAGGCCTGGGCGGGTCTTAGAAGCTTTCACGCTTAAAACATGAGTTCGAATTCGTTGCTGCTATCGTCTAAAGTTTTGCCTTTTCTTTGCGTAACATTTTATCAAGGAACTGTAATATTTTACGTGACAGTTATATGGCGCAGCATCGGAAATGCTCGGAAAACGGCGAAGCAGCTATACCTAAAACACCATTAAATGCATAAATAATTCCATTTTTGAGCTGAAATATATTTGTCAAGCTTCCTTACCTTGGTAATGAGATTTATATGCTGTCCCACTGGTAAGCCAAGTCTGTATTGCTCAGTAGGTAAGCCAAATCGAAACCGGCGCGTGTCATGGCTCAGCTCCTTTTTGTCCATTAATGGCACCGGATATTTTACATCGGGATCTTGCAGTAGTTTTTTGTTGACCTTACGGTTTCGCAGAAAGAAATATAGATAAACGGCTATCGCCGCACCGGAAGCTACCACGACAGAGAACAACATTGCCCTATCTGACATTTCCTCCTTCTGTCGTAGTCGCCTGCTTACAGTGTTGTTTCCTTCTCCTTCTGGTGTTATTTCTCGACAGCGCTGCCGTCAGTCAAATAATCAGCGGAAGTTAATCACTAGCGTCAATCAGACTTACAACAATCAAAATGCACTTGTCCGTGGTTTCCATCAACTCATTCACTCAGCATGGCGACAGTCCAACGCTTGCTGCTAGCGTTAGCAGTGTTTCGTCAATTCTTATTACTTACTGTCAATTGCTGCTAGTGCCGCGACATGTGAGCCTTAAACAGAGCAAACTAGCCGGCAGTCGTCGAACTCGATCACAGTGCTGACCACCTGTCTGCCCGCGGTCTGCATAACTGCTTCTATAGCCTTCTAACCCGTGACCGACGTAATCCTACGATAATGCGAGGTTGTGAACAAGATGGCCGCTCATTGATATGCTGTTTCTAAAAGAAAAAGAAAGCTATATAGCTGATATTGTCCTGTATAAACAAAATAAAAATACTACGGAGCTATTGAAGCTTACCGATACCTCGAATCGAATTAAATTTGGCAAGATGAATTAGGAGCTAATTAGCAAATTTATTTTGGCAAGTTTGTCAGGACAGGATATAAGATCTGCTTTTGAAGCAGACTATGTTGTAAGGTCTTACAAAATTTTACAGTTTATTTACAGATCTATTGCTTTATATCTCTATGCTCGCAATTTCTTCATATACTATAATCATATAAGTACATGCTTACAAATCATTTGGTTTAATAAAACTGTGAAACTGTTAAATAATAGTGGGTACGGTATGCGTGTGATGCGCATCGTACTAAAAACACCCACCCTTATCAATTCCTTTCTTTCCCTTAGCTTTTACTTCTTTTAACAGGTTTACGTCCTTAGTAAAACATGACAATATCCATTATCACGAATATCATCCTAGCAAAAGTATTTATATAATTATATAACTTTATTATTTCCTGAACGATTCTTAGTGGACCTCTGCGAAACTACTTGTAATAAATAAGCGCAACTTCGGCCCACGATTTTTCGGCACAGCGTCGCAATTAATCATCATTAATTGGAAGATCTATTGCTTGGCGATAAGCTTTAAAATAGATTTAGATAAAAACAAAAAAAAAACAGGCGGCTGTCAACGGTACATCTTATCTGTGTTGCATCGTTGACACCTGGCCATTTTTGAATGAACTGCACTTTGGATTCTTAAATCACTGAAATAAACCACGATCAACTATTGAGGTTAAGGTCATTTACTTAGTTTAACGAGCTATTAAGGAGTAACAGGCCTCTGGCCAAAATTTCTAATGCTTTCTGTATGTATTATTACTCTAGATATTTTGCTCTATACCAACAAGAACGCGTTAAACATTTTTCTATGTAAAATATTTTCTGTTTGGCTATTACTAGTTTCTGCAAATGTATTGAGTACTTGACATTTGCCCAGATGTAAAAACAGTCTCCTCCTAGAAAATGGAAGCAAATATCTATGTACTTCTTCGAAGCGATACGTTTTGGCGGTAACTTTTCTGCTGGTCTAAAGTGAAATGAGCGATATCACTGGCTGCTATAGAAGCTTGACCCAGATCGCTATGGAAAATCGCATTAGGTCAACTTCAATATCTCAACTAAGCAATATTTCAACTAAGACTACTTAACTTTCCGTGTTCGGGTGTTGTTCTAAATTCGTATGCTTTGTCGGAACGCCTGTTGATTCTAAAAGCATAACTTAAAATTGTAAAACTTTCTAAGAGTTGTATAGCTCTTAGCTTCTATGCTTTTATCGATGCCATGAGATCGCTTTTCATAACGGAGTCCCGAAAAGAACCCTTAGCTGTGGATAGCGCTAATCTCGGATGTTTTCTTGTGATTCCTACTGATCGTTACCATGAACAAGATCACTCTCACAGAGTTGTATGTCGAGAAGATATAATTCACCCATATGGATGTACAAAACCTATGGGCTGTATTGCTAATAGCATTACATCATCGTCGTCGTTCTGTGAGTAACTGTGGGCAGTGAGAAAACATTCGAACGCCGAAACCGACAAAGAACATCTGACTGGCATGCGGTTTTTTGTGATTGACTGTTATGTGAAATCGCATCGTTGGCATGATTAAAAGCGCATTAGGCTTGAAAAATAAAAAACCAATGAGAGGTATCTTCTTTTTACAGTTGGAATATATCAACCCGGGCCCTTACCGCGATAGATAATTTGGGTAAGTTAAACAGTTCAGATCGATTTAGTGTTCCATTATCATCTATAGTAGTACACAGCTAGTGCGTTTAAGAAGACACATATAAAAGGACACGTTCTCCATAAGTATAATATATCTAAAATGTTCCTTTACAAGATGTTCGTTAGATCCATCATCAGCAATGAATATCGATCGTCCGAAAGCCTATGAAGATGTTGAGGACCTCGAGAGGGAGCAAGAAAAGTTTCTAGCGTCTCGATCGAGAGCATCGGTAACACTGCAGAAAAGGCCCGCGGCGCCGGAAACTGGTTATGATCCAGGCGTTGGCAGTGCAGAACCCCGTCAAAAATCTCGCTTTCGACGCGAACGTGATGAAGGACGTACACAGATCCCCTTATCTGTGAACACATCTTCTACGCCACCATTGTTACAAAATATTGTCGCAAGTAGACCCATATAGACCTCAATTTTAGCATGTATTATAATATTAAGACCTTAAGAGTTTTATATAAGATGATTTATCTGCAGTACGTCTTACATACTACGATTACTTACAAGAAAAGCCTACCAACTGAAGTAGTTCGATTTGAGTAGCAGGTACGATCCAAATATCGGAATTATAAGCTCAAGCATCCAGGTTTTATTTCGGGTGGTTAGAAGTTTTTTGGGGATCTTTATTACCCAATTAATTACATATGATCACGTTCAATTTAGATGCTGTGCTAATTTACTAGGGCCATCCACTGGTGCAAAGACTCGAAAAGGTTCCGATAGCCTTACGTTAAAAGATAAAGCCATTCCTCGCCGGATACAATTAATTTCGCTTTTCTGTGATTTGTAGGAGAAGCCAGGTACCGCCATTTACGTACCAGAAGTACCAAAACTTGAAAAAAGCGTCGAGTCCTTTCCGAAGGCCACTCGAAGGATGGTTGTTGCCAATTCTACTATCGCAAAGGGCACAGCAGATTCAAAACCTAGCCTATTTATGCAGAGTCTTGGGCCACTGGCGCCACCCAGCGTTGCGCAGGGATTGCAAACCCCGGAAGAAATCGACAGTAAGCCTCTTTTCCTCATCTAAATTCAGAAGTCCTTATAAAACATGTGCTGTAGTAACTGTATACATTATACTAAAATCTCATTTAACGATTTTACCGAATTACTGCAGGGGAATACGAACAAATCGAGAAGGAGAATCAGGCAAAGGTGTCAAAAATGACCCCTGACGAAATTGCAGACGCACAAAGGGAGCTACTTGCTCGTCTAGACCCAAAGCTGGTACAATTTTTGCGTGAGAAGAGAGCTCGTCCTCGAACTAACGTTAAGAAAATTATCACGGGTGGGTCGCAGGTCAGTAGTGAGCACAACATTGAAAAACAATTAATGCTATTAGATACAAGTTGAGTTTGATCGGGAAAAATTTAAAATTGAGATTAAACTTGATGTGAATCATTATTACGTTTTAATCTGTGGCCTGTTTAGTCAAGCGTGGTCTTAATAAAATACTCGCTATTTTTCCTTATTTCTATGTGTATTATTCTATGAACCTGCATTCTAGAAATCACTTTAATTAACGTTTTAATTAAGTTAAAACATTTGTTTTTGACTATTATTTCGAACGCTAATTTAGTTGGATGACGCCGTTTTGTCGGACCTAATGAAACCCAGCCCCACACCCAGGGATGCACCGAGCACGGCCGAATTCGTCGAGAGCGAATTGCCACTGGAGCCGTCTGCGATGGCGCAGTATCCCGGAATGACCCGGGTCGAGAAAGATAAACTAGCGTGGATGACATTGTTACCTTCACCGTCGGCCATCACTAATAAAAAGACGGATAGCGATAGGGCGCTAAGTGAAAATAAGAGAAAGGCTGTATTTACTTGCCGTTTCGATTTACAAGGTACATATCGTAATTGAGTGGCCGCTAGAGACTATTTGATTACTTGAATATAAATCACATATTCGATACGTTAATATACGACAGTTAATAAAGCTCATCTTCACTCTTATCATAAAGGTCGAATACTGCCAGCAGACCTCGACGTACCGACACAGCATGCCCTGCATCATCATGGAGAAGAGCCTGAAAGAGCCGGTTATACCGTGCAGGAGCTCATGACACTGCTTGCATCGGCAGTCCCTTCACAACGAATCCTTGCCCTACAGGTTCTCGCCAATATTCTCAACAACGTGAGTAGACTTACAAAGTAAACTATGCCTTATATATGGTTGATCGAAACCACAGACGTCGTAGAATAATAGAGTTCTCTCTCCGAATGCAATATTAAAAAAGAGTACCGTTCTCTGGTTTCGTTGTGATTCAAACGAAAATTGCACGTCTTGCTATCTCGTTATCGAATTTTAGCACCACAGTGGCAACTATGACCGCTGTTTTCCTTCGGGGCCGGAGTTATTAGAGAGCTTGCTGGCTTGCGGTTTCGTGAGTCTGCTCCGGGTGTCTCTCGACGACCAGGCTGCCTCGCAGGTGTCCGAAGCACTTAAAACAACTTTCGCGTTGCTGGTTTCACCATACGACGAGGTATTTATTCCCCGACCCATCTTGCTTGACCTATAATATAGATGACAGCCATCAACCTTCTGTAAAAGTACTAATTGTATGCGCTAATATGGTCTGTTTCCAGGCGTGCCTTGACCTCATTCATAGTTGGGTAGACGAAGAGCCTTATATGCGACCAGTCTTAAAGGTATTTGGGTCGAAAGAGTCGACGGCCGAAGCATCGCGCGAGCTGACTGATGAACAGCTTGCATCTTGTGATATCGTGCGCGGACTATTACGTATGGACATTCTTGCTAGAATCAGGTATTTATTTATTTGGCGTACGGATAAATCACACCATACGTGATCATACACACTGCGGGTAAACATACAACTATTTGAAGAAGGTAGTTTTGCATGCTGTATCGTGAACGGCCTTATGATATTATTCTACTAGGCGGTTGAAAAGTGATTATTTTGCGTGCAAGTCTTCACTTCTATTGCTGCAATTATAATGGATAGGTCATGCATATATATCTATTGTTCTTCAGATATTTATTGGAAGTTTGCCAGCCTGATACGGGAGCGGTTGGTGCTGCGCTGGGGTCGTTGATCCGCATTGCAAGACATTCGCCTGAAGCCGCTGAACGGATTGCGAAGTGTCCCCGACTATGCAGTTTTATCGTGACCGAGTATCTTCCCATGTTCGGATGGAACACCCCGCGACTACTACATGGTACGTGCATCATTCGTTTCGTAGGTTTTTTTGTCAACGAGCATGCTACTACTTAAATTCGGTATTATTTTATGATACTATATACTAAGAGAATGAGAACTGAATAATATTGCTACGCAACTGAAAATCTATTTTGCTTGCAGGTAAATTAGCTTCGAGCGGGGGGATTCCGTTAGCACAAGCGTTGAAGTTAATACGGGTGCTTTGTGCGTCCTCTAGGCTCACAGCAGCCAGCCTGCTAGTCGAACACAGTCTTGATCGGACTATTGGAATCTATTTAAGCATCGATGTTAAGTATGTTGGAAAAGCGACATACGGAAGCAGAATTTCTTGTTTTTTTTTTACAGTTATCTTTCGTTATCCAGTATCGGTAGCCGGCTGAGATTTTTCAGCGTAAAATTGTTATATAAAGCATCACGACTTAGGCATATATTTTTTCCAGCACTCTTTGAAAGGCTGGCTATATAATCAGCCGTTCGCCAGGAGTTTGGCATACTTGTTTTAACTACCTAGGGATTATATGCCGTGATTTGCACTTCTTAAAGCACTATGGGCATTGAATGATGCGATATTTAGTTCTTATTGTTTTTTATTTTTATGGTACTGTTGCATACAGCGAGCCAAAGCTTCCTCGTCGAGAAGTCTTACAACTACAGCTGGAGAGTCTCCGGCTTTTCCGTATTCTTCTTCGGCATGGCCTTTCTGCAGATTTCTTCGACAACCTTTCACCTGTAATTCTACGTCAGCTGAACTTCGGTCAACAGGTAAAACCTACGAAGCATCCGACGAGATTACCATTTTAAAAGACTTACAGAGGCAATGTTTTTAGCCAAGAGCTTGATGACGGGGGATCCTAAAGCCGCTTGAGTGTATTTCTCGTTGAATTCATTAACCCTGTTATTTAGGTTTCATTGCGGCCCAGGACGGGTGATCTTCAGTTGTTCGACTTGGACTATGCTTCATGCTTGATGGCTTGCACCCATGCCCGGCTGAAACAGATTGTGTCACGGGACGAAGACGAGTGGCAAGCCGTGGCATCTCACACACAGGCCATAGTCGCAATCGCTGTGCGGTGGTTGAACGAGCTTTGCGAAGAAGGCGAGCTTCGAATAACCGCCATGTCTACACTGGCTGTAGCTTTAAGGTAAGGAGTGTTCTAACATGTTCAAGCATACTGTTCAATCCGACAATATCTTGTTGGTTTCAGCAGCTTTTTGGCAGTAAGATACTCTTATAAGAGCTGGTATAGCGCTAATATGAAAATGGCCCATTTTGAGTAGTTAAGCGACAGATGCTCTGCAATGAACTGTAGAGACCATAGTCTATTTTGTGCAATTTTTATTTTAAACGCAGCTTTCTAATATTTATATGGTATGAAAGTATCCACGGAAATGGTTTATCTTCAAAAACTAAAGCACTACTTATGCAATTAGCAGGAGGGTCGTTCTTGTAGAGCCTTCTGGATATTCTATTCTTCTTGCTTACACATCCTTTATGGGTTCAAGCTTTTGCCTCCTGCTGAACGGAACGTCAGTATTTCGAATACTGAAGTAGCGATTTTTCAGATTCCAAATTGGTACAATTGGATATTTTGCTGCTGCCGCTGCCGCTGCGAGGGCGCTTCGATAGAAGACAAATTGCATTGTGTCTCTTCCAAGTGCACACTCCAAGCAAAATCTTCAAAGGAAACATTTTTTAACCTTTTCTAATGACGTTGACGTGCTATTTTTGAGTGGGACGCTCACACTGTAAAACAACACAGTCGCTTTGATAAAAGAATAGGTTTGTTAGGGAGCATAGATGCAGGAATTTTTTTAGGCTAAAATATGCCTACGATTTATATTTGTTTGTTACCTTAAAATGCTATTTATTAAGATCCTCGTAGATCTGGGTTGACGTACTGTGTGTTCTTTGAAATCACTGTCATTTGTACAAGTAGGCAATCTGTAACAGGGGCACAAAGCAGAGTGATATCTAGAAGCATCTATTTTTGTGACATCTAGGTGGTGCGAGTTTGAAATTGGGAATAGATATGCCCCGTTCACGACTGTTCGTACGAAGCAATCGTTCACACCTGTATCAAACGTTAAAATATTTATTTGTTTGTTCTCATTACACCAAGAAACGATACCGTCGACAACGAACCGTAACATTTGATATTTCACAATTAACCATGTATTTTTAGATGATCATTATAATGAAATCAGTATTCCCGGTACATGTGCGAAACGACACCCTTAAAATTTTCAAGGCTATAATTAGCGATACATTCTGTTTACCTGTCGTCAGGTTTCTGGCAGATGCACATGTCCACTGGCCGCGTGAAGTTGAACTCAATACCGTAAGCACCGCTCTTCGTCGTTTGGCTGAAGGACCTCGATGGGCCGCCCTGTTCGATGTCATGAAGGTTTCTTCAGTGCTCACCATGTCATTCAAAGCAGATACGGGAGGGTTCAGTTCTAAAAGGGACGTTCCTGCGCTCCCAAGTCTGTATGCCATTCCGTTCGGTACCGGTAAATATATTTTTTCATATTGTCATTAGCTAGGCGGCAAAAAATAATGTGTTTAACGTTTCTTTTTAAGAAAAACAATTCTTTTAACCTGTTTCTTTTTACGTTGCGTTATTACAGAGACTGTAATTCCAACGGTTAACGAACGTAGTCCGGTCTTTTTATTGAACTCGATCGCCTACCTAGTATGGAGTGCAGTGCAAAGTAATGAGCTTGAAGGAGCGATAGATCTCGGCTGGCGGCTCCTCTGCGCAGACCCTTTGATCACGTATTTGACAGAGGTGAATTCGCTTCCATTTCAAAACCTACCTGTGTGTCTTTGGTTCGGGCGTGAGGAGGTATCTCTCCTGTATCGCATTGTAAGACTTCGAGTTGCATTAGAAACGAAGCGTGTAAAGGTGTGTTTTTTATAGCAATGGTGGCCAATTTCAGCATTTCGTAAATACTTTTAGTAAGGTAGATGCGTAGCACTAATACGTAATACAGAAAAATCGCCAGACTACAGGCAGTGATAACTTTGTACGTGACTAGTGTATTACATTCGATGGCTTTTGTGTTTCGAGTTTTAGATCCGGTATCACCGTTAGGGCATTCCATCAGATGGGTGGCTCCCAGCATAAAACGAAGACTGTGTATGCCCGGATTCGAACCTAAACCACAACGTGTCCCTAAGATTAGCAGGCCATTTATAGCAGTCTTAATAGCATTATATATATATATATATCAGCATTGACATTTTTTGTATTTCAGCAAAAGGATAATGTCAAAGCAGAAAGCTTAGATATGGAAATATTTAGAAATGCTGCCCTGACAATTATTCCATTGTTGAGTCCTGATCAAAGTGCCTCGATCAGCCACCTATTAAAACGAGTCATTTTCAACCGAACTTGCTACAGGTACTTACTTCATTTCTTTTACTTAGTTATTATAACTTGTCGTATGATTGTGCGGCTGGTCATAAATGGTTTGATTTCTAATTAAATAGAAGTTAATAGGTTCGATTTTATAGCAGTGAAGATATATTGAACTGCTCTGCCTATCGATGTCTCTGCTTCTAGCGATATTTCTATTTCAAGAATGGCCAATTTGAGTTTGAAGCAACAGACGCCTATCAGTGCTTCCGGTGAGCAGGTTCGAACTTATACTGAGCTTCTTCAGGAAGCTATGACAGGAATCGACGACATCTTACAGACAGCAGAAGATATGATCTACTTCATGCGTGGCATTATTGACGCGCGATTCCTGTGAGTATTCCGGTGGGTACGAAACGAAGCCATTGGTCTATGTATTAGTGACAAAGATGGAAGGTCTTTATGTGCCTCTTAAATAGTCACCCATGTACATATATTAACCGTTTATATCTATTACGATTTCCAATTTCTGAGTTGGCGTACGGCGTTAGATGCTTAAAAGGTGCAAAAATAAGTTTATCTAGTGTTTTTTTTTACTGAATTTTAGCTTCGGCTATTATATGACCTTCTGGTTACAGGGAACCTCATCCGTCCAAAAGTTCTCAGTGCGAGTATCTATTCACAACAGGTCTATTACCCTCAGACTGGATGTACCTGCCACTTCGACTACTATACGCTGAGACGACTAGAACCAAAACACGCCAGCCTGATTCAGTGCGTGTTGTTTGTTACACCGAGAACGAAGCCAGAAAAAAACTAATATATATATATATATATAATATTTGACATTCTCAGTTACTGCACTAAGAAAGTTTGAAACGTAATAGGGTATTATACGTAGAATTTGCAATTCTACGAACATTCACTAGCCCTTTACGTGACTAAAACGGTTTCATTACGATATAGAGAAATAGAGTGTGCACTCGCGCACTTTTCTTCGAACCTTAATTTACGCAGAAACTATGCTTGGATGTGGAAAGCTTGATTCTTTATTCATTGCCTCTGACAAAGCTTGTTCGTGTTTTTTTGACACTGCAGGAGGCATTGGAAAATGGCGACGATGCTGATACCATCGCATTACATGTTCTGTGGCTACAGCGAACCCTTCAAGCGGCTCTCATCCTCACCAGCTATTCGAATGTAATGACAAAGCGTCTTCCACCGCTAGTCAATTTCGTTCGGCTGGCATCCGTCTTCGTGGTCGGTGCGTTGTAGGCCAGATATCTTTTTTAACAACATGTATCGTACTTGTTAACTTCATCACTAGGCAATTTTTAGGCAATTGCCACCAGTCTATTGAACGAAGGCAATAGGTATTGGATTAAGTCGTTAACTACTTTGAGCTGTGATACGAGCAAAAGGGCAAAAGAGAGGGAGATAGGGCAAAAGATGTCGCATAAAATATCCGAATAAATAGTACGAATGCAGGCCTAATGATATGACAAATGCACACGTTTAGTTGAATAAAAGTCAATAAAAGTAACAGCCACAGCAGCGTTTCCATGAAATCACTTTCAGATTGTGAAAGCTTCCTCGACCATAACCTAAATAGCATGCTCGCAACACTCTTCTCGCTGCTGCTCGTTCCTAACAGTACGCAATGCGCATTTGACTCCGTCAACTTTTACTGGGAGGGATTGCCTGCATTTACTGATTTGTAAGTAATCCCGTCGTACCGTTTGGCATGATTATGAGCTGTGGACGTTTCATTGTTTACATGAACTACTCTATAGATAGTTTTTCTACGTAGCAAGCTGACCTAAACTTTATTGTTCCAAATTTCGAGATCGGATTTTTTTAAAAAAGCAGGCTTTTAGTTCGGGCCAGACGAATTCCCGCGAACATAAAACCGTTATGACATTTTAGTGGAATTCGGTGAATACCCAAGCAGGAATTATCATTAGACAGTATATGGCGCACCTATATAAAGCCGAATATCAAACACGTAAAGCTTATATGCAGGAGAGGCGTATAAGGTGAAACGTAAACCACATCCAAATACCTTATCTGTTCACCCAGATATGTATAGAAATATAATTTGTTTGCCCTTGAAACATGAGAGACATGTTCACCGTATCACATTACTTAGCTGGCTATTGTTCTCAGCGCGTGCATACAGAAAATCATCCACTTCATCGCTAAGTGCACCTCAAGAGTCTAAAGGCTTCTTGACTATTACGCCTATTATAGTAATGTCCCTATATATATATATATATATATATATGCATTACCCCGGTATAGTCTCCTTAATTAAATTTCCTGTGTAAGGACCCCTTTTCCACCGGCGTCGGTCAGACTAAAATGTAGGTCGCATCGAATTCTTTTCCCGCGTATATTCTTTCAGTTATTCATCGCTCGTGGGGCAGTTCGAAGCGTGTTCATACAGCGATGCCGTGTTCTCTGCCTACCTCCTTTTACCCCAACAACGATGTTACCACGCGGACCTGCGGCGGCTCCTGTTCACGGAACACGCGGCACTGCTTCGCTGTATATCGTTAGCTGAAGACGGTTTGCTTGGCTTACCAGTTAAGCGTTTTCTCGAGCCAAAAGAAACTGATGAAAGTCTGCTTCTTGCCTACAGATGTGCCCTCAATTCACGTATGTTTTTAATGCAACTATTTTCATCAAGATAGATTTATTTTATCGTTGAGGATTTAGAACCTCTAGGAGAGCACATAATGCGAATCCTGCAGACTAATGCAGATACATGCTTTTCTATAATACCATATAGAGTACCAGACGACAGTGATTAAATAAAGGGAACGTAACAGCATGTTAGTTTGGACTTTTTAATACGTTTCCGTTTTGTTTTTGCCTGAATGCATACGAAGATTCTACACAGTTAGTCAATGGTTTCAGAGAAAAAAAAAAAGGACTCTCAACCGTATTTAACACGTTCCATCCACTGATTTGCAGAGACGGTGATTGAAAAGCGAAATCCATTTCTCTATATGATGCTGAAGCATCATATATCATAGTACTAAGTCTGCGTGAGAGAAAAGCCAGACTCCGCGATTGAATCAACGAGCAAGGATTTACATACTTAGAAAACCTATGCTACATATGATCTAAATCGCTTCATTATGGAAAAGGATCTTTACTATAATATAAACAATATTGAAATATTACTGGAGTGTAAACTCAGAGCAAATAAAACAATGATAAACTAATCCCTATAAACACGCATCTTGTACTTGATTTTATTCCTTCAACAGCGGATGGGAAAACCGAAATACCACAGCTTTTTGGGGTATGTTGAAAAAAGACGTCGAATTATGTTGTTTTTTTTCTCTTGCCGCACCTTAGTAACTGGATTAACAAACATAACGCTGCCTAACGTCGATTTCTAATCGACGGAATACTTTTTTGAATTCCATTTCATATACTTAGAGCAACCTTTTTTATACGACTCATTCACGTAGGGATCTATTGGCAGCTTTGAAATCCTAAGAACGCAAAACACTTACAAAGAGACAAGTCGTTGCAGTCACTCTTTATCTGTACAATTCGACCGAGTTCCTATTGACAATTCAACTTGAAGTTTCATTTTCTTCCCGAATTCGACAATACTCAAATCAGTCTGTTCTTTTTACAGCGTATTGTGTATAAAATACGGCATGTAGAAACTGCACACATTCCACTCGGGATTCGATATTTTTACGTGTCGTCGAAATTTCACAAAACGTTTTATTACTGTATAACTAATATAGATCTGTTCATTATATGACTGCACGTTACCTATGGAACACCTCTCTCGCGTAAACTTAATTAGTTTATTGCGTCCTAACTAATTGATTGCTGTTAGTGAAACACGGTAATATACAATCTCACACCGTTGTACTGTACCGCCGTTCTATTTGTTAACCGGTTGTCATTTCTTCCCCAGTAGCCTACGCGATGCGGCGAACGTGCGCTCGATCGGTTGATGCCCGCTAAAACATCACTTGGTTGGAATTTACCGCCCTGCCGTATTTACCAACATTAGGCTACAACTCGTGTTCTAATAATTGAGTCCTTTGGCTGTTGGCTCGATACGGAATAGTGAAAGGAACGTTGGCTCGTTAAAGAACTGGTCAGTTGGCCAGGCTGTTCCTCTTCATTGTCCTGTTTAAGGCTTCAAGACGTTACGCCAGGCAATTCTCCGTACTATTCGACTGAGTCCAACTTTTATCGAGCGTCGAAGCGAAGCTCTAACACCTTTGCGCTTTTGTCAACGACCGACAAGGAGTCTTTGCCGGCGCACTTGGAGTTCTTTGCCCGGCCGCGAAATGAGTGAAGGTGCGTATAATGTTATGCCCCGTAATCGAAACCCGCATTCACAGACACCACTACACTATTTAAACTAGTATCTAATGCAAGTTTAACATCTATACTCTGTTCAATAATGGCTAAAACAGATGCCATCCGGTTAGCATCTCCGTCTTTACCCTGAGTATGAACATTAGATATTCGGAAATAGTCATATAATGTTCGTAATAGTCATACGTTCTTTTTTTCGCAGAAGTAGTATATAGGGAACTGATACTGAATACGTTTTGAATAAATGGGATAGAATGTAATTTTTTATTATATTCTTTTTGTTTTATTATATGTGTTAGGGGTACTTCTTCTTTTTTACACACTTTTCCCAACGCCCTGGTAGCTTCAGAAGAGTCCTACACCGACCATTTGTATCTTCATATGCAATTTACGTACCTATGACTTCTCAAAGCATATCCGTAGTGGGATATGTTCGCCAGTAGTTACTAAAATTTTTGAGACATGGCAACCCCTGTAATCACAAAAACTTAGGTCGCGAAAACAAACAAGCTAAAGCCAACATTTGACATTCCTTTGCTCAATCCGGTAAGTAAAGGAAGCATGGCGATGAAGTCTAATCTTGCCATTAAGCAATCATACTGCGTGCTTTTGATTGTCGTGGTAGAGGTCTATATGTCTATTGAGAACCTCAAAATAGCGGCTTTCAATCTTTCATTTTCAGCGATTATTTTACGGTAGATAATGCCCCTGATTCCCGTTGCAAGTACCACCATCATTTGACGTCTGAACATAACTCGACACTGCCACCGAACTCGATTGCTCTCCAGATCGAGGCCCTTTACTCGCTTTTCCGGCTAGCGATAGAGATCGAACCAAACCTTGTCTATGAGTATATATAAGTATGCTTGTTGATTGAAGTTCTGCAAATCGTCCGTGGAGTACTACATCCATTTCTAACTGGCCTAAATCACGGGCTATCCTATCTTCTAGAAAGTTCCCGCATCTTCAGTGTTTGAGCTATAATTCTATAGCATGTTACTTGTGATGCGCCAATTTAGCCTACAACTCTTAGACTCTAAACTATGTTTTTTGAAAGGCCTCCATGATTGCAGCGATGCGTTCTTGTTCTTCAGGTCCCGACTGGGGGTCATTTATTTGCTGGTTTTCAAAATTCTGATCTTCGTTGCTGAAACACGTAAGCCAGTCGCATACTATGCGTTCTCTTAAGGTTTTTCGCCTAATGTCTTCATCAACCTTCGATAAATTTCGCAGAGCCGTGGCTTTTGAATAACAAAAAGCTGGTCATTTGGACCTAATTTTCGAGACTGAAATATTTTTTCGTCTAATCTCATTTCTCCTAAGGTAAGTTTAACCAATTTTCAGTCACAAGTTTGTAAAGGACTGGAGAATTTATCAGTCCAGCTTCGTCTGCTAGTTATTAAATTTCAAGCTCCGCCGGACTAAAAAGAACAAATTCAGACGTCAAACCACCAAACCATGAATTCTAACACAACAAGAGTTGCCCATAAAAACAGCACCAGTAATATTCACCATAATTATAAGTTTATTTATCTTTTATGACTATTGTATGTTCAATTGATTCTTGTTACTTTTGTACAGATAAAATTTCGAAGAATGAGCTGAAACGCCGCATGAAGGCAGAGCAGAAGGCAAAAGAGAAGGCAGAAAAAAATGCCGCCCAACTAAAAGGTGTGGTCAAACACAAGCCAGAATCCTCCGCGCAGGAACGCGAAGTAGATGAGGAGGAAATGGACGCTGGTGAGTTTTTCAAATTGCGAATGATGGCCGTGGCCCAAATGAAACTCCAGGGTGAGCATCCATATCCGCACAAGTTCCATGTCGACATTTCCCTGCAGAATTTCATCGACAAGTACAACCATCTTGAGCCTGGCCAGGTGTGTAATTTGCTATAATTTACATAAAAACTAAATACTTAGTATGATTTAATAAATGTCCTTTTTTAATAATGAAAAAGTGAAAAAAACAGGCAAAATAAATGTCTTCCACATCGTGCCTTAAACCTTTTTGCTGCGCGATAGAATTGCAGTACAAATGTCTGCAGTCATTATTTCATCAGCGAGAGCTGAAATTAGTGATAAGTGAAGATGACCCATTAACGGAGTGTACCGTAAAAATCTTCATTACTATTTGATACAAATATTGACAAATCTAATGGTTCGCCTTTTACTTTGACTTCAATGACCTACTTCGGTGCTCTCTAATAAAATTCTTGGCATAACAAGCAAGTGCATGCTATAATGTTTAACGCAATTTAGTATTAAATAACTTTGATTTGGTTGATGTTTTTCTTTCCGCTGAACCAACAGGTGCTCACTGATGTCAAGTTGTCTTTGGCCGGTCGTTGTCATGCCAAGCGAGAATCCAGCCAAAAACTTATCTTCTACGATTTGCGAGGCGAAGGATCCAAGATTCAGGTGATGGCCAATCTATCGTATTATGAGAACGAAGAAGCTTTTTATAAGATCCATAGTAAATTACGTCGTGGCGATATTGTTGGTGTGCAGGGTCATCCAGGCAAGACCAAAAAGGGTGAGCTCTCCATTATCCCCGTCCATATGGAGTTGTTGTCGCCATGCCTTCATATGTTGCCACATCTTCATTACGGTCTGAAAAATCAAGAGACTCGCTATCGGCAACGCTATCTTGACCTCATTATAAACGATTCGACCCGGCAGAAGTTTATTGTGCGCGCCAAGGTCGTCAACTTTGTACGTAAATTCCTCGACTCGCTGGGCTTCCTCGAAGTTGAAACGCCTATGATGAATATGATCGCCGGAGGAGCGGCCGCCAAACCTTTTATGACGCACCACAATGAGCTGGATATGGATCTGTACATGCGGGTTGCGCCTGAGTTGTACCATAAAATGCTCGTCGTAGGCGGCCTTGATCGCGTCTATGAGATCGGTCGTCAGTTCCGAAACGAAGGTATTGATCTGACTCATAATCCTGAGTTTACCACCTGCGAGTTCTATATGGCTTACGCCGATTACAACGATCTCGCAGTGATCACTGAAAAGATGATTTCTCAATTGGTGTACGAGATTACTGGCGGATACAAGGTAAAGTACACGCAAGTCGATGGCACCGAGTTCGAAATCGACTTTACCCCGCCATTCCGGCGAATTCACATGTTACCTGACCTCGAAAAGGCGTTAGGTATGCAGCTGCCAGCTCCCGACCAGTTCCACACAGCGGAAACGAACAAGCTTCTGTCAGACATCTGCGTAAAGCGCGAAGTCGAGTGTTCTGCACCGCGTACAACAGCTCGTTTATTAGATAAACTCGTAGGTGAGTTTCTCGAGGTGCAATGCATCAACCCGACGTTCATTCTCGACCATCCAGAGATCATGAGTCCGTTGTCTAAATGGCATCGGTCGATCAAGGGCTTAACGGAGCGATTCGAGTTGTTTGTGGCAAAGAAGGAAATTGTTAACGCATATACTGAGCTAAACGATCCGCTCATACAGCGGGAACGCTTCGAGCAGCAGGCAAAGGACAAAGCCGCTGGTGATGACGAAGCGATGTTCGTGGACGAAAATTTCTGTATGGCACTCGAATATGGCTTGCCACCCACCGGCGGTTTTGGTCTGGGTATAGACAGGCTTGTCATGTTTTTGACAAACTCCAACAATATCAAGGAAGTTTTACTCTTCCCCGCCATGCGACCAGATGACAATAGACCGTCGGCGACCACGGAACATGTCTCACAACAACAATAATTAAAGCAGTAATAGGGTATCACAGTCAATAAGAACTAAGGGATTGAGAATGGGGAAGGCTGAAAACCTATATAGAGCACTGGAATGGGAGCACTGCAAGCGCTACAACCTTCAGATCATAGATCCACCACAGTCAAGTGTGATTGTCTTGCGTAGAAGCGTCCGAGGCTAAAGCTATTCTTACTAGAGCAATGCATTTTAAGGGTTTCAGATTCTAAGCAGTGTTTCACATGGGTTTGATATTATAGCGAAGAGCAACAAGTAGGAGTAAAATGGTTGCTTATTGGAAACCCGTTTTGTCGATATCGTTTCGTCTTTTGAAACACGGATTCCGACACGATACAACTATGCCGGGCAATATTGAAATGAAATCGGAATTTTCGCGGATAAACATGAAAACGTGTTAATAGTTCAGAAATAGTCAATGTCTGCTTCATCGAGGTCCTCAGCAGGCCGAGCATTTCACAAAAATGGCGACAGCAATAAACTGAACTGGAGTTTAGAGCCATCTAGTAGTACATTGACTGGGGTTCAGGTAATCAAGTAGTGACGACTGTAAATCGGTTAACAGACAAGATCATACGAATGTTTAAAGGTAATAATTACTATATACGCTTTAGTTAACCTCTTGCGTGAATGTCAGACTGAAGGTTTCATCGTAGGGGAGCTACATAACGATAGTTTGGTTGTATCTATCTGGGTCATTACATTCTTCTAATTAGTGCTCGATTTCACTGAGCTTTTTTTGTTAGAGAATGAATAAAATTACAAGGTGCGTTCTGGAGGGACTGGTGTTGTTCGCGGCTTTTCCATTTTTCTTTATTGTGAGAACTGGAAAGATTTATGCAATGTATCTACTGTTGGGATATGTGGAAGTAGATGACTTTGGGTTCAACGAAAGCTTATTGTAATTTAAATACCATATAAAAATAAAACAGGAGAACCAATTATTTTTTGAGCGTAACTGTTATTCTTAGGTGTGCTGATCTACCGAACACTTCTCATCCTCTATTTACATAAAACTCGATATTATTGCGTATATTGAATAATCGCCTTATTTTAAAATAAATATACTAGGTTTAGTAAGAAATTACTATACAATACTAATATACTACTTAGCTATTTTACTCACATTATTCGAATGTTGCGGTGTACATCATATTCACAATATCAACCGTACTATGTGCAGAAAGTGACCATTTAAAGATTTTTTTTTACCTAAAAACTTTACCTAAGCTAAAACCTAAAACCAATGACAAAGAGCTACTACGCGGCCGAAAGTGTTTTGTGTCAAGCTACGCACGTTACGTGACGGCGCCATGTGGGAACTATCTAGCGTTTGCCATTTTGTAAGATACGTTCTTTCATTCTAACATTTAAAGTCCATGTTCCTATTTAGATGTTGGATTATGCACACGAAAATTAAACGGAAGTTGCTTATGCTGAATTCAGACCTATGGACAGGCTTGAATATTTATTGTCTATTCTGCATTGATAAAAATTAGACACTGAGTAAAAACACGATTGATATAACTTATATTTGCTTTATTATTTCGCTAAGTATCCTTTCATAGCTAGATGTTGATGTTTCGTGTTTTTCATGATGTGTTGACGATTTGTTTCTTTTTTCTATGATGATTGTTCGCATTGAGTCTCGCTTACAAGCGCGTTTTGTAGGAGCGCCCGCGCAAGTTCTCTTGTATGTCGTCATGGTAGACATCCTCGGTGCTCTGATTCTCGGACCGGTTGCCGTCCAACGGGACTGGTAGAGAGCCAATCTCCTATTTTACTAGGACATACGATAATGCATAACCATTTGGCGGATCTGCGCTTGCCCTATAAAAGCAGTCAAAGCACCACTGTTCGCTCAGATCGCATATATCCTGCCATGTTGAAGTAAATCATGTTGTGGTGCTATACCAGGTTGATAGCAGAACTCAGAAGCCAATTTAAACTTGAGTTTTAAGCTTGCATTACGTTTTCAGAAACTGTGCTGATTCGATCTGGCACGCATAGGTTTAGCGCAAAAAGCGAATAACCTGCGACTGCTGAATAATCGAAATGGGGGGTTTTGCAGAAATCGAGCATAGAATAGAAAAACCTTATCAATTCCCTAAGAGGAGTAGATAATTATTCAGAGTATATAGTATATGTATATATAAATATCTATGATTCCCAAAAATTACTGTCTCTGTATACAAGAAATGAACGTACTCATTAAGTGCTCTGAGATCCTACCAATAATCTTAGCGAAATTTAGTAGAGGCTACACGCAGCTCAGCTGCGCAGGTAGATAGGATCACTGCGCTTTCGATGCTAACTTCTTTACTAGCCGTTAAACGCAGGTGAGGAGAGAGCATGATATCCTTATTCGCATGGAACTACGCTTACGAAACAAAGCGGCTACTTTTCAGACTGACAAGAAATTAACAGAAGTTGTCGAGAAAATTGCCTCGTAATAAAACGCCTTCGTCGGTAGGACAAACAGGCCAAGGATGTCTGCCACTGACTGTATCGGTGTGTTTGTGCACCTGCACACCTCCTCAGATTCTTATAATTTTCATGTTCGTGTATGTGTGTGTATGTATGTAACTGTCTTTTTTGTCTGTAAAATTCATTATTGTTGTTCTGCTTATTGGCGTTGTCATCGCATCATACACAAGATCGGCAAAGTAAAGCGTGGTTTAACGCCAGTGTCTCGTCTTTAGTTTTTTTTTTTATTTTGTTTTTCTACCTAGGGGACGGTTCTAACACGTACTATTCTACAGTCTAACGTACAGAAGAGCGCCGCCAATCGCTCTGATATGAAGGCGGCATCTATTTACAATGGCTTTGGTTTAAGGGAAGAACATCGGGTGACACGCGAATTGTAATCAGGAAGAATTGCGCGTCTTCCATTCGTGATCATTTACCATTATTATTATTATTATTATTATTATCATTATGTATATATAATAATATTATAATAATTATTATTAGCAATCATTATATAGAACGAACAGTGATCAGTTATCGCGTTGTTCGTCCGATTTCCTCTGCTCTTTCGTTCTTTTCCATAATAATTGATTAATCAAGTCACCAATCAATGAATCAATCACTCAATAGCATAATCATCATTATCATTATGACATCTTCATTTATCCATACATTAGCAGCTTATCATTCAATGAATACAAAACGAGAGATAGTATATGATCAGACCGCCATTCACTCAGACAGACACTAAGCAACCGTGATTTCTACATCATCCATCCTCTCTACATTTTCCTCAACACATTGCAATCTACAGCGCAGAGCATCCACGGCTTAAGGTGGCGCTGGCTTGGGTACTACTTGAGTTCTGTCTTTCTTGAGCTTCCATCTTCCTCTACTTTCTGTTTGTCCTTTCTCTTATTTCTCTTTTGCACATTGAGCCGTATTGTTTAATGCATGGTCTGAGGCTTGTTTTATTGACGATATAGAGGACGCTGGCAATTCATACATGAACTGGGGCAGCAATCGAGGCGCGGCAGGTACTCTGCCGACTTTCAGACGCTGCGGTTTCTCCTTAGATACCATTATGCCCTGGCAAACGCAGTGGCGGTTTTAGCCCTTAGGCTTCTTTCCTTCAAGCATTTGGTGTCATTGGCTGCTGGTCGATGACTAGATCGTCTGGGGGCGGCGATCAGGCTATGTACAACATACAAAAACAAGTTTACGCTAGCAAAGTTGCTCGTTTCGCAAAGAAGAAAGACAAACACTGTCCTTCCGTTACGTGCCTTCAGCGTTTTCGTGTGCTTGTGGGACGCGCTCAACACGACGATCTACTAGCGCGCACTAGTGTTAGCCACCAGTGACTATACCATTTTTACCTCCGTATACATAAGGACAAATTACGTTGGGCGTAATAGGCGATATCGTCTCTTGGCTCTTCCGTCGCAGTTTTCGCTGATTGTTGCTGTGCAAGAACGTGATCGCTGCTAAGCTATAGGCAGTAACTAGATACCGTTCGAAGGCGAATCCGGTACTTGGGCGTGTTCACGTTCCGCACTTGGTGGAGGGCTGGCCTCCTGTTTCGCTATTGGAAACCAGAGCTTCTTTGGCTCCTTTACCGGCGTACCAGGACTTGAGGGTAGCTCCGTTTTTTCTTCAATGATCTGCCATACACGAAAAGATTGAAAAGGTTAGGAAAAAGAAAAAAGGAGGGGCCGCGAGCAAATGGATTGGATGCACTCGAAAAAAATACATCACCTATCTGATATAGGTAAGATTCTAAATTACACAGGTTCTAGGACGGTTTCTAGTATTGTCCGTTAGCCAGTTCCGAGGAGGTCGCTCACTAGCAGCCTCGTATTAATTGTCCAATAAATAAACGGCTACTTACTGGAGTGTTTTCTGAAGTGATATGTTCGTCAGCGACGTCGATCTCCTCATCATCATCATCTATCATCGCTTCCGAATCATCCAGATCTGAACCCTGCCCGCTACGACTCATACGGTTAACGTTCTGAGCAGCCGCCAAAGCGATGAGTCTGTTCATATCCATCGACTGGCCCGACGTCACCTTTCCGATAAAATTACGAATCTCGTCAAAGTTTGCGGCTAGTGGACTGCCTTGAAGACTGGATTTCAGTGGAGAATCCATTCCTATCATCGACGGTGGAGAATGCTCGGATTCGTGCTTCTTAAGATGCCGGTCCAGATTGGTTTGTTGGCCGAAACAGCGGTCGCAAAGAGAGCACTTGAATGGCTTTTCCTGCGAAAAAATCAGGAAGACATGAAGGAACAGGATGAACTTGAGATAAACCACATGAACCTAAATGTGCTGTTTTTTTCCCGCAAGAAGAGAAAGTTCTTACCACATTAAAGCATCACTCCATTGATACTATTATTAAAACAACTGAATCAGCATGCCGTCTAGTTTAATCTTCGGTTGGAATCAAGTTCGGCACCCCGTTTCTTTTAGCGAAATTCAAAAGTTCCCAGACCTTATTTTTTAGAATGCTTTAAATAACACAGAATAAATAAATACACAGAATTCATGCAACTATTCTCGAAACTTTGTGTGCATAACATTTACTCGTTATTAGATAAATTTGCTAAACGCAAAGCACCGCTCACCTTGTTGTGAATATTTCTAACGTGTCTCTGCAGATTCGACGATATGCTGAATGACCTTTCGCAATACTTGCACTTGTAGGGTTGTTCACCTGTGTGGGTGCGCAGATGCCGCGTGAGATTGGCGCTACGAGGAAACTGTTTGCCACAGAATTTGCACGAGTACCGCTCCTTGCTAACCTTTGTATGACCAACGGCCGCCGCCGGACTGCGGCCTCTCTGAGCTGTCGGTTCCAGGCTGGCAGTAGCCGCTCCTTGGGGGCTGGGACTATGGGGCGTTGAATGGCTATGGCTCGCCGCCTGACCAATCTGCGCCATCTGGGCGCGCACCAGATTGAGATTCTGGAACAGCGGCCCAAAGATATTTGTGTTTAGACGCGGATTCGATAGGGCACCAGAATCTGAGGGCATCTGCACGGGAAAGAGTGGTACTGAGCCCTTGTCGGACGATAGCCGATTGTACAGGTTTATTTGGTCAAACAGCAACGGATGTAACGAATGATTGCCAGCGGAAGGAGGAAGCACTGCAGGTGGCGCGGGTGCCGCAGGTGGGGTCAAAAGGCCTCTTGCGGTAGCCGCTTGCTCACTTTTGTCAGCTACCGAATCCTGGTCTGCTATACTCTCGCCTTCACCCTCTCCGGAGCTATGACTTGATCCTAAAAGAAAAACAACATATCGAGTCACAGTTTCAATTTTTAAAAATGAAAAAATAAGGAGCGAAAAGCATGACTATCAACGCAAATATCTATTTTATTTGGAAATGGATGTCTGGCTTACTACTCAGTGTCGTAGCTGAGGCAGCGAGCAGGCTAAGGCTACCACCAATTTACTCACCGGGACGATCGGAGGGAGGTGGACTAGCTGATGAGTCCCTTTTGTGAGACACGCGCAAGTCAAGGGGTTGGTCATCTTTTTCCCCATCTTCGGCGTCTGATCTACGAGCCGCCTCAAACTTATCTGATTGCGGCTGTCCAGACTGGGCCATCAGTGAAGTCACGGATTTGTCTGCGTCGCTCGATCTTTTCCTGAGCGACTCGAGCCCGCTAACTATACTCGATCCGTTCAGCAATGCTTCAGGCCATAAGGGGGCAGGCTTTGGCGACGATTGCCTGAAAAGATGCAATTAATCTTTTTAGTGCTATTTAAAAACCTAGGATAAACGGGAGCAGTTACAACGGTTAAACGGCTAGGCTCACGCCAAGGCATAACCGTTTACCTAAGACTAAACATCTCACGTCTGCTGTCTGTTTCACAACGTACAAGAGCTTCAATAGCATATTGCAACTACTAGTTGGGTTCTGACTGATATTTATATTCATTTATTCCATTATTTTTCATACCTGTAGCTATCATAGATCGATCTTCGTGGAGAGCTGCGCACAGCCGGGAACTCCATATCTTCTGATTCACTATTCTCTTCGTTTTCGTCGTCAGGGTCGGAATTTTCACCGTCCGAGTTTTCCTCTACCTCCGATCCGAACTGGTCTCCTTGTGACCGATCGTTGGCTTCGGCTGTCGCTAACTCTTTCTTCACTCGCTTTTTGTTTTCGCCGTCAAACTGGTCTTCCTGCGACTGGTTGTTAGCTTCAACTGGCGGTGAGTCTTTTTTTACCCGCTTTCCGTTTTCGTCGTCTGTGTCGTCTCCGTGACTAGCGACAGGATCGTCTCGACGCCGCTTTCGGCTAGCAGCAGCTGCGATCTCTAAACGCTGCCGTTCAATGAGCTGTCGGTTAAGCTCGCTAATTAGATCTTTATTATCTTCGTCAACGGATGTTTCAGCGAACTGCTGCTGTTCCTCCTGCAACTGGTGTTGCCTTGACAGACTCGCGCAGCCGGTATCGTTGTCGTCACTGTGATGTCCTGCGCTGATGATGCTCTCCTGTTTGAGCCTTTTGTTAAGTCTGCTAATGAAGTCCTTGTTTTGCTCAATTTGTTGGTGAGGATTCTCGTGGTCGTCACCCGCCGAAACCTGGTGGTGGTGATGGTCTACGAAAGGCTTTGACTCCCCGTAAATGTCTCTCGGCGGTTCCGATTTGAAGAGTCGCTTGTTTAGCTCACAGATCGAATCTTTATTCTGTTGCTCGGCGCCTGCTGATAAGGTGTGTAACGACTCAAACTTCAGCCTTGAATCCTCTTCGTCGTCGTCGTCGTCGTCGTCGTCGTCGTCGTCGTTTTCTTCCCTGGCGTCTTTGTTGTTAGTGCGATTGATGGCGTTAATATTATCGTCTCCCGGGTGTTCTTCACTGAGAAAGTCGTTACCGATGAGCGCACGCTTATGGTCGGCGTTGTCCCGGCGCAGCTTGTTAACAAGGTCCTGCAAGTTTTCCTGCTTGAAACCTGAAAATACTGGAAATAGTTGGGCGATTGGCAGGAATGGGCTGAGTGTGCTTTTGTGTAAAAACTGCAGTGGGTCGTTGTTGTTTAGAGGAATGTCCCAGTTCGCCAGCGAATCAGTTGCCGACGGAGCCTCACAAAAACGTTTGTGTTTCGTCAATGAAGCAACAGTCGCGAAGTTCTGTCCGCACTTCTTGCACTTGATTTGTGTGCGACACGTCGCATGCATACGCTTATGTCGGCACAAGTTGGAGAATTGCGTATACGCCTTGAGACACACCTCGCATCTGTCGGATGAATCAAAGATAAAAATACACAAAAAACATCGGAATAAACTGACTGCTACAGGCTTCCTTTGTGGACCGAGCTAGTAATCCGATATAAGGTTTTTATTAGCCGGATATCGAACAAGTGATATTATTAATGGTACAGATGTTTGTCATGGATTAACGATTGATTAACTCACCTGAAAGGCTTTACACTGGAATGGATATGAGTGTGTTGTTTCAGTCCACTCGATGTTGCAAACGTTTTGCCACACTCTCCACAAGCGTGGGCACGGGGTCCACTGTTTTGTGGCCGAATGTGCCGCTGAAGGTTTGACGGATCAGTGAAGGCCCTTCGAGAGCTGAAACGCACAAAGGATCTACTTAATGACAAGACACACTCTGGCGGCACTCCCGTGGTGAACCAACTTAACCTTATGTATTCTGTATCCCCGAAGGTACTTGACGAAGAATTTGCATTTGTGCGGATACCATCGACAGGTTGTCCATCTTTCTTTTTTTTTTAGCAATTAGTCTCAAATTGGAACATTTTTCGGTAGACGCAATTCTGCTACAAACAGGCCATTTCTTTTGTTACTTTAACCAGTATTTTATTACAATAATGTTGCATAATCTGACTGCCGAATTTTTCAGGCAACAGAAACGAGGACACTTCCCAGAGTGCGTCCAGTAGAGGAGGGAACATTATTCGCAGATCTTCGACAATGCGCACTTGTAAAAGTGGAGTAGCATCTCGTGAAAATTACGACACGCCAATGTAACGCCACAGGCGTCTTTGCCTAAAGTTCGAGGCATCACCGTACCTCTGTTTACTCGAAAGGAGACTTATTTTAGGTAGACACAAACATAACTAAGGATAGCCATCTGATATAATAACATATGATTACGCTCACCACCGAACCTATTCAATTCGTACCTTTCCATGATGCACTGAGCCACTTTCAGGGCTTGATTTGGCCTGCTCCATGAAGATAAGATCACCCATCGAACGAAGCACGTCGGATCCTCTCTCGTTCGTCTGACGAACAAGCGAATCGCTCAACGCGGCTGATAAAACAACTTATGTTTACAGTTCAAATTAAGCCGGCGAAGAGGAAACGATAGTTACTACATTTTCCGTGAGGCGATTACTGGCCAATGAACAATGGAAACCACATCGCGAGGAGTATTAAGCGAGCCGCAAATATCGAGCGAGTACCCGCAACAAGGGACATCTCGTTACGTCGTGTTGACCTGCTGCCAACTCTAGACCTGAGGATTTGCGACGACGCAGTATCGTGGCAATTTACCAGTGACATTGTTTGACGGATCGTTTAGCCCAATCTATTATGAATTGATTAAGGACTAAGTAATCCAGTAGACGTGAATGGTAAAGGAGCCTTTTAAATTCTGGTGAGCGCCTCCTAACTTCAGTAATCGTCCGAATTCTGGTTTCGCTCGGAGATCAATTGTGCTGCACGACATGCACGCAGCATCTACATACGTAGCAAATGATGCTTTCCTGAAGATTACCGCCTTATTGTCTGGTATTACTTTGTCTACGGGACAAACAATATATGTGTAAACTTTTCGTATGCCTTTTACGCGCATAACCCAGGCGTTTAACATACAATGATGAACAAACACACAATACAACTTGAGTGACAGTATAATTAATTTACATAAAAAAAAACGTTCCATCACACATAGCAGACACATACGCACGCAGTTCATCTATGCCATTATGGCTATCAATGAAAATATCTCCATCGAACTTTGTCACACTAAGCCATCAGGCAGTCCAGTTCATCTTTGTGTCCCACCATCCGCTGGCCACTCGAGAACCAGATATCGGCGACTTTTTTTTTATCGCAGTACCCGTGTACCAGTTGACATATTCGCAGTAGCTATTAGCGGCCCTTTGTCAGGCATGCGGTGCACGCGGCCCAGGATAATCTCAAACAGCACAAATAACATCTTCCCGTCCTTATAAAACATCAAGCGTGTTTACCAATCCACCTGATCACGTCACTGCCACCGTTGTCAGCGCAACAGCGGCTGGGTTTCAACCAAAAAAGCGCTTTGTTCAGCCGCCAACGAGATCAGAATGCCGAACGTATAGGCACGCATTCGGGGCAACGCCGGAAGACAGCCCAAAAGATGCTGACGAAGGGCCCCTGCGACATCTCAGGAGATTACCGCACTGTGGTGATGGCCCTGGCAATCGCACCTGTCTGCTCACTCAGTTTATCATCGCGTGATAGTGATCATTTTATGTACATTCATTGCTATTAATATATGTATCCGATATCGCATTTGTAGCGATATTACTATTATAGTTGTGGAATGCTATTGTTAATGTGACGGCAGAAGGAGCACTTATCTTTTCAGCGTTTCGTTTTCTTCATTTCGGCTCTCGTTTTCTTTGTTATTATCATTATTGTTTGTTCGTCAGTCGTTTGCCCGTCTGTCACTGCGCTCGCGCACTAAGTTTGCCCCCATCGTCGGTCGCGAGCGTCCTTAGCTCGTCGTTGTCCGTGGAATTGTCTACTTATCGTCGCCCACAGTTCATTTGCTCATTCGTAGCAGACTAACCGCTTGAGGCCAGCAGCGTCGGCGGCCGCTGTGACTATGAGGGGAGTATATAATAAAATGACGATGGTAAGAGAGACCACGATACCACATGAGGCGATGGCCGGCCGGCCGCGGCGTGTGCCACTGACTTCTCTAGAGAAGGTGCTTCTGCCCTTAGTCTTGCTGGTGCTGCCGCTGATGCGAATGATCCGCTGAACGGTTTTTTCTAGTTGAATCCCGATTACGGCAAGCGGCAGTTGCAGCTGTCACTACTCGATAACGGCAAATGTTGATGATGGTGACAATTGTGATGATTATGGGTAACAATGATTTTGCTATTTTGTTGTTGCTGGCGCTGCTGCTGCTGCTGCTGCTGCTGCTGCCGCTGCCGCTGCTGCTGCTGCTAGAAGGAAAGCAAAGAGAGAAATGACGAACGAATAAGTGATGATGATAGGGAATGGCTCTGCATGTTGATGCAATAACGTTGTGTAGCAAACAAACATCCGTGCGGCTCAATTCGGAGCGAAGCTATTCCACGCGGTCCGTTCGCGCTCCTCCACGCGCTGACGAACGAAGATGAAGTTGATGACAAATATGAGACGAAAACTAACGGACATTCGGACGATGACTGGTAACGCCTGTGACGATACACGAGCCACGACGCTCCGGGTCATCGTCATTGCCGTTGTTGGTGCGCTCTGGCCATGCCATTGTAGATGGCCCGCCACGTTTTTGTTGTTGTTGTTTTCGCTTGTGTCGTAGTTCATGTTGGCGTTGTTACTCGCCTCATTTGACAGCGACAACAACGAAACGTTACAGTTGTCATGGCAATAGCCGCCAAAAAAAAGAGGTAGCTGCGATCGTGACGCAATCCTTAACTGCTCTGTTCGTATCCATTGCTGTTAATGCTGCTGTTGCCGCCACCGCCGTTGCATGGGACGCTGGTGCACCGGCGATTATACCCGCCCGGGATGATATTGGTGATGCTCGTGGTGATCGCCATCCACCTCTGCAGGAAAGACGACAACGGTCAATCTCGACTGCGACCAAATTGGCTCTGCCCTGCCCAGCCCAACCCAGCTAGAACAACCCAAGACGACGTTGCCCGCCAGTTTGTGGAAGCCAGCCTTTCATGGCGACAGTAGCAGTAGTAGCAGCTGCATTCACACCACCGTTATTCGGTAGCACCACCACCACCACCACCACCACCACCACCACCATCAACAACAACAACTGATGACGCCAACAACTCTGCTGAGTCCACCTCTACTTCTGCAGATTTAGCCACTACTACATGCTACTATGAATCCTGCCGCTACTGCCATATGTTCGGCGCTTTTGCGCGTCGTTTTGCCCGTTGGTTCCTCACCACACTACCCCTGCCTCTGTGCCGTCCACTCTTCGCTATGAGGAACGGGATGTCCGCGAATACATCGATCGATCGACCAGTCAGTCGGTCGGTCGGTCGGTCGGTCGGTCGGTCAGCCAGTTAATCAATGGTAACAGCAGCAGCGGCAGCGGTGCCAACAACCACATCGGTTAATAGATGAAACACTGATACGATGATATACGCAGTCATATAAATACATGAACACAGAAAAAATACTAGGGCAAACACAGACAGACAGACAGACAGACGGACGGACGGACGGACGGACGGACAAACAGCCACGCCTTATTTTCCCAGATCGATATGCAACGATACTGCAAGTATAACAATGACGGCAGCGCGCCGTGAGCAGTTCCTCCGTCGGTCGCTTCTACTGCACAGAGTCAATGTTTAAGATTGCCAATAGTCGATTTTTGCTGTATTTGTACAAAGTATTGATATCTTCGCTGATCTTTGGTACTTCAGTCGTGTTCTTACTGTCGTCGTCGTCGTCGTCGTCGTGGCTACCAACCCGACTTCGATGAAGTCAACGACAACGATCGGTACGCTGCACAGTCGGTCTGAATCAAACTACTTTGATCACAGATTCATGCGTGCGTGCGTGTGTGCAACGTTTAAGACAAACAAAAATAACAGGAACGGTGCCAATTGTACGACAGACATATGGAGGAGCACAGTGCGTATATCCTTACCGCCAGTAACCTTCCCGCGTACGCAGTTTGCCACAGCCTCGACCTGTCTCGTTTGCCTCCCACCTATCACTCAGTCGGCTAATGTCAGAGCATAAATGGAAAGCATAAATATTAAAGAAAGCAAATGAATCAAGATTGCCCAGTAGCAATCCTATCTGTGTTCTTGCTTGCTGATAATCAAGTTAATGCTGGTGTCATTGTGTATAATATCTATGTATGTGCATATAAGAGGAACGATGAATGATCGTAACGATCATTGCGTTCTGAGCGAACGTCGCCACCGTCGAAACTGCTCTTGCGAATGTCTTAGGGCCAAATTAACTAACCAGCCGCACATAGTCACAACTCGATCTTTTGTTGTTGCTGATGTAGTTGTCGCTGTTGTTGTTGTTGTTGTTGTGGTAGTAGCTGTTGTTGCTGTTGCTGCTACTGCTGCTGCTGCTACTAGAAACAGAGCGAGAGAGAGAGAGAGAAAGTGAGCGAGCGAGAGAGAATTAAGACACAAAATAGCCGATACCCTTGTTCATCTTTTTCCATCTTTGTTGTTAATATTATTGCCGCTGTAGATGTTGTCAATCTATGATGATGTCTGTGACGTCACCGGCATGTTTTCCGTTCGGTGCAGCCCTGTAAGTTATTTTGATCGTAGCAACATTTGCCGCCTCGTGTCTAAACGCTAGAAATTCGTGCACGTGTATGCACGTTGTGTTAAGTAACTTTGTAGTTGTTCCTGTCTACGCTGGCAAGGGTGTTGCTCATAGCAGCTGATGGCCAGGGAGCCCTGGCCAGGTGCGCGCTCTTCTTCCTTCCCCTGTCTCACGCCGCCTCAATGCCCCAACACGGGCATCTCCCAAATGGTCCCATTTCTATACCGGGCGCTAGATGAGCGCTATTTCTGCCACTGCTGCCATAGATGAAAAAATCACAACGGCCTATGCGCTTTACTATTGACCAGACATTCCTCCATGCATCCGACCGGCTATAGCTATATTTGACCGGCCCATTCGTCCGCGAACCACCGCCAGCGTCACTTTAACTACGACGCCATCACCGAAAACGCAGGCTACGCTCGCCAGCGGATTCGGATAGACAGAGCGTACACCAATACTCTTGTCGTTGCTGCTCCGGCGACGAAAAAAATGGGTACGACGGCGCAGTGCACGACACAGTGGCAGCCGCGAATGCCAGCAACCAGCGCTTCTCGCGTCCGAAGAAAAAACCGCCATGTTTCTGCTACATTATCACTACCTTTACTTGCCTCTCGGCCTGCTACTACTGCTGCTGCTGCTGCTGCCGCCGCTGTTTAGGCTGCCGTTGCTGTTGATGATTTGTTATTATTGGCGTTTATTCAACCACGACCGAGAGCGTCACTGTACCACAAATGATTCTGTCGTGCTTTAAGCTGCCGTTGTCGTCCTTATGACTAACATTGCCACTACCAGCGTTATAGAACTAGTACTATAACTAGTCTTAGCACCCTTCTGCGACGATCGCGATGACGGCCCCGCCTTCCCCTGTTGTGGCTGTTATTGTTACTACTAGCGTTGCGACCGCCGTTGTTATTAACGTTGTCTGCCTTTGTGTTGATTTGGCGCAGCTGCTGTCGTTAGCTGCGTTTTTCCAGCTCGAAGGGTAGCGTAGCCAGCACACGGGTGTCCTTGTCCTACGAGCGGGGGGTGGGGGAGACTCAGCTTTGTTGTACAGCAACCGCCACCGCCGTGGCAACCAGTAAGCCACACCCTCAATCGTGAGACCCTCTCTTTTGTAAAACAGACCCCCCTGATGCCGCTTGGCGCTTGTCTTTCCAATGGGCATCTAACGCATGCCCCCAAGAAACTATGCAAGAGCAGTAATGGCAATGGCGGCAGCAACAACAACGGTATGGCTACAACAGCGACTCGATGCTGATGGTGGCAGAGCTGAATATACGGAGTTGTTATTATGATGATTTTCGTATTAGAAGTGTATGTACGTTCTGGTGTGCTTGCGAACGCTAACTGGATTGGCCGGGTCGACTCACTCGTCGAAGTCGAAATAGGGAAACAGCCTGTGCGAAACAGAGGATGGAGCAGATTGGATGTGTTCGGGTTCGAGTCCATATTTAGGAAAAGCGTACATGTACTGTCCAACTACGACGCAGAAAATACTCAACGACGACCCAACAGACTACTTGATTTGGTCAGGTGGATTGGTTATAGGTCTCCACTGATTATTTGTGTATGTAGAATGTTGCTTGATATTATTTGGAGCCATTTTTCAATAGTTCCAGGCGACAGATACTAAACAAAGGCAACTCGAAGCATAGAACGCACGTGCAGAGATTAACCACTGCAGCGCATAGGAGCATTGGATACATCTCTAAGAAACCAGAAATCCGTTACGAATCTATGGACGATTGCCATAGAAATCAAATTGAGCGGTGTCCTATGAGCGACTGAATGCTATCCCATCGTTTTCCAGAAATAGCAAAAAGACCAAGTGCAGGTTGATCTCGTCGAATGCAAGATAGCGTTGGTTTTTGTGAAAACGACAAGCCCACAATCACAACAAACTAGTTTACAACCCAGCCTTTTTACAGCGACGCGAAAATAACGGGCATTTGCTGGTAGATCTCAGACGTCTCGGTTCAATTCATAGGGCTTCATAAATTGCGCACATTTCTATGAGCCTAACTGTTGAAAAACAGCTTTTTGTAGTCGTGATGGTTGAAACTTCGAGAAGGTCAGTTGCTTGAGAGTCAGCGACAAGGAGCTATTCAAACATTCTACGGATCGTTTACACTCGAGGTTAGCCATTCGAAGTTCTAACTTTTTGAGTCGGCGTCTAATGTATGGATAGTATTCTCTTATATGAGCAAAACGTATTTCCAATAAGTTATTTTTTAAATAACTTTTTTTTCCGTATGCACAACAGAAACGATTAGTAAATATCCGTTTCGAACCCTGACGGTCGTATATAAAAGAAACCTGCAAATCATGACCACATTGCAACGTCTATCTAGTAAGCATGTAACCATAGTGTAAATAGCTATAATCTGTTGACATTAAGATTCAGCTGCAAGCCAAGTCGTCAAGCCTCAGACAAAAAGTAGGAAGTGAGCTTCGTACATACGGTATGTTTCATTTGGCATAACCGATTTTTTCAGTCTGCCCAAGCACGAGCTGTAGTCGACGTCGACAGCAGCAGCTGCTGCTGACTATCCATCACACAGAACCCGAACTTAGAGCAAGTCAGCTGTTTCGTGACGCAACGGCATCGTGATGCAACGGCATGAACTTCTAGTTACGTCAGCGCTATTTCTAACAAAAAAAAGCCCGTGAACAGATTACGTCGCCACAGATGCGGGTTATCATCTCCGGTTCCGCTCTGCCGTTCGCCAGCTATTATCGGATGAACCGTCCGTACGACGCCTACACTCTGCTTTAGAAGTGACACAATCTTTCCTCACGAGAGGGAGAAAATCAAGGTAGACGAAAGGAGAAAGTCGCTGCAAATTGGGGTGGAGTGTCATCTGATAGGTCGTTTTCCCCAATCGAGGCAAAATGAAGATGCAGCCCGTAACCCCCTCACCCCACATCTCCAGGAACAGCGAGAGCCCAACACAACATCCAACAACAACAACAACAACAGTAGCAACACCATCATCAATAACAACAACAACATAAACTACAAAAGTGCGGAAAAAACACCAAACCGTTAGCGAGACGAAAAGTCGTTTTACGACGATGTCCAGCAAACACACAACGCATCTTTACTTGCTTCACTTACCCAAAGCTATCGGGGAGTTGATGGCCGTCGCTGCGTGGCCAATGGCCGTGGGCAACTATCGGTTGCCACACTACGGGCTGGCCGGCTCTCTGAACACAGTAACACCTTGACAGTAAGGCACCTATGTACTCTTCACTAATCTGCTACCGAAGCTGAGTATTGATGCAGCCATTCGAAAATTGATGCAATCATTATATTTCCCCTGAATGTATATGATATAGCGGATAGGAATTTAAAATCTTTCAGCAGCTGAGCAGTATTCATCATTTCAACCCATGTAAGTGTAGGAATGGCATTTTGATATTGTCTTTCTGTATATCTGTGCTATCGGGCCGCAAAAAAATGACAAGGAACGTCCATCATCTTGGGAGAACTTCAGAGGATTCTGCACACTAATTTTACATAGCGGCTATATCGCAGTTATTAATAGAACTGGTATCTCGTAGAACAAGTTTAGATAAAAATATACGCAGTTTATATACGTATAATGAAAGAGGTGGCGTCTGCTAAAGTCCAGGATGAGCTCAAAGTTCCTCGATGATGGCAAGTGATGTTTCTAAAACAATGAAGTTGGACACAATTAGATTTCACCAACAAATAGGAGATCATAATTCAAATATTAGACAACAGATGTTTGTTGTGCCGGTTCGAAAACGCTGACGACCGATCGAGCAGCAATGCGTGCTCTCCAGAAGCGTATCGCGCTACTTAGGTGGCCACGGTATTATAATTATCGTGCTTGGGTACATGTGGCTGTTGAAAGCGTTTGTAGACAAACCTTCCTGCTTGTCCGAGCCTACTGCCGATGCTTGTCCGATGATGTCTTGGTAGTTTTACTTGGCACATCGAAATTTTCATCGAACGGTGTCAGAGTGGTGGAGCTTACTAAAAGACCTGCGTTTTTCCACAGTCCCGCCTAGTGCCTTTTCGCTCTGTCGTCCCTTTTCTTTTCGTAGAACTAATTTATTTAACCAATTATTTATGGACCTTGTAATAAAGTATCAATTAAGAGATCACGTTCCCTGAGATAGTGGTGTAATTCTTAACCCTTTTTGCGAATGGTTTATCGGGACTGAGGGATACCAACGGTTTTCTTATTTAGTATATTATTTACTATAGCTTAGGGCATATGCTACAGAATAGGACACGCTTCAGTGGTCTCTGCCGGATTAGCTTGACATTACAGATGTCCCAGTCTGTCTTCAGCGAAATCAACTGCGGAGCCGACTCGGCGTGTCTTAGGGAACACTTTCGAACAGTGGGGTTATTTCAAGGGGTATTTTACGGGAAACCAGCAAAGGCGATGCAATGTAGGAGATGGCGTTTCGTTCGCTATTGACGTGGTTAGACTAATGTCTAACCATGTCATTAGACTGTTCGTTAGTCCACTGCTACTAGTTTTACTGGCTCGCCTTAGGTCCAACTAGTGCCTGTCGTTGCGCTGGCGTGCATTTTGTAGGTATTACAACTTCCCAACATGTAGAGCAACATAATTTGCAATACACCTAATTTACTAATGGCAGTAGTAGTACTGCCTGCCTGCCCACCAGTTCGTTTGTCGATGAGCCAGCTCGTGGTAACCTAGCATCTCTTCCTAACGTGTTGTTAGAAGCACCGAGTGACACGCTCTCACAAACGGTGCGATGGTGACATTTAGATCCAGCTTTGATTCACCCTTTCGGGCCCATTAACTGTTGTTCAGCAGTGAAACACGCGTCGCAGGAAGTGACACATGTTTGCCTCTTGCACCGATAGCGCATTGGCCCTACTGCAATCGGTTGGTTCGTCAAAAACAAGATAGTTATGCACTACCCGGGACTGAATCCGCTGTCAGTCCGCTGACAGCTGCTAGCCTAGTTCGTCACGATGTGCCTATCTGTTCGTGCGAGTAGTACTAACACAAGTAGATAACGTTGGTGCTGCGATATGCTGGTAGAGTGATGAGACGCAGAGGTCCCATTTAGCACAGACTGCCATCGGTCGCGTAGGCATTGACGATTTTTTGGTTCGCAACGACCATCACCGCCACGGCTGTGCCGCCAGTCGCGACTCGTATAAGTGCAGTCGCCACTGTTGTGCCGGACTAGATCTGATGGCAATCGACGATAAAGCAATGTCGATGGGATTATGTAAGTCGACCACAGTCGTCGTCGCCGCCGCTGCCGCTGTTACGCTCGCTAACATTGCTACCGTTATCGTAGCAGACTACTTCTTTTTTTTTTGAAAAGGTTAGCTTCATTGAAGTCTACGCTGCAGAAGCTGACGCCGCCGTCGCGGTAGCCGTCAACAACAGGGCTACTGGGATTGAGGAGACGCGCAAAAAGAGCATGCTTATGGCTACAGCGTTCCCATTAGCACCAGCATTAGAGTAGATTTTACAGATGCTGCTGCTGCTGCTGCTGCTGTTACCGTTGGCGCAGGAGGAGCGGCCCGGAAAACCCGAACGTGTCACTTAGTGGCAGCAGTGGCGGGCACACTTCACGAAGATGAAACTGGATCAAATGCGAATCGTCGTCGCAGTAATGCTGGCACATCGATGTTCTGCGTACTCCACGCGTCCGACAACCGCTGATGGCTGATGACTGCTGTTAAGACAATTGGCTTCGCCATTTCATCCTTGCCGCGGAAGCGACAATAACAACAGCTGTAGCTGAATCTAAAACTATTGCACTAACGCTGCAGAGGCGATAGTGACAGTAGAATTTTTTTCGTCCGATTTAGCGAGTCATCGGCGCGACGCGATCACTGACGGCCGCCTTCTCAGCTTTCGCAAGGGACATGTCAAACGCGACGACTTCGTCATCGGCAGTTAGGCAGCTGGATAACAACTGCTGGACAACAGGGCGAGCAAAGCTGAAATTAGCGCAGAACGCTTGAACGTTGTCGTTCATGAAATGTAACTGAGAGCTGTTTCCGTTGTTGTTGTTGTTGTTGTTGTCGTTGATGAAGATGCTTCCTTTGACACTGTTGACGTTGTTCAGGCCTGAGTAGTTGCGGCTGTCGCTAAACGAGCGCAGCTACGCCAGCACATTGTAATGGACACCCATAAACATTTAGAGTACAACTAGTAACGGGACGAAGTGTATAGGATCGCCGAATTTGGGCGTGTTTAATTATATGGATAAGAATAACCAGCCATTTGTAAAGCAAACGAGAATGGATTATCTCGCGCGCCATCCTTCCTTCGATGTTCTTCTTCGAAATTTCCCTGCTGAAGGGGTCCAAAGGACGACAGATGTTAGTATTTAAAAAAGTAGTCGGGTGAATGCAACGACGACTGCACTGCGTTCCCGCTATAATGGTGGTTAATGATGTGCTAAGAATAATCCTTATCAAAGAATGGCTGGTCTTTAGAGACTACGTGCTATGGAAAATCTGGTCTTGAGATCGGGGGGCCCCCCAGAGACGTGAACTGAATTCGGAACTTGTGCGGAATCCTACGGAATATTTTGTTTAATCTGTCTGTTGATAAGCCAACCCGAATCTATCGCGACGACCTGTTAAGGCTTCAGTGAACCCAAAAAGTAGCCGAAAAAATCTAATCTGCTCTTTTTATATGAACATATATTGTACTGTTGAGCCACGTAAATGACATTATCATCATCGGCGCCGTCGTCGTGACGTCGTTGTGATTGCTTGACAGCCATCAGTCTTCGTTCGCTCTTCGTCCTCGGTACAATCATCAACCACGCCAGAGATGATCCGAAGCCGGATATTTTCCTATTCTTTTTTGTCCCCTTGCGGTTGTCTCGGTACTGTTTTCAATGAGCGACCCAATCTGATGTTGCACGTAGACATGTACGCACGTATGTATATATGGATGGACGACGACAACAAGAACGGCCACAGCATCGACAGCTAGAAGAAATGCTGCCGACGTTCGTGTTTTCGACGGTCGTCAAGACATTGTGGCTTCGAATGTGAGTGACCATGATAATATGTACGCGACGGTCCGTTGAGGAGATGAATCAGCCACAATGTGACCCTCGTCCTCGCGCAGATGCAACTGCATTCGTTCGTTCGGCTCGCCGTAGTTTTTTCATCTTGGCACCGCTACAGATGCAAAGGAGACGCCGCATTGTTGTATTGCTGGCAATTCAACAATCGACGACTAAAAAAAATAGGCCACAACGGTTTACATCTATCCATCTGACTAACAGCAGCAGCGCAATGGCTGGCCAAGAAAGCGAACGGGACTAATGTGTGTCCGTCACCCGCTTTTTGTAGTAAACTGCTCCGTAGCCAGTTGTTCACACTGGCCGCTCACTGACTGCCCCTCCCGAGCGAGACGTCTGCAAGGCGTGGCAGCAACCAGCGCTCGTCGTCCAAGGCCATCGCGCGTCGTCGTCGACGACAAACGGGGGAAGGTTCAGGGTGGGGGATGGTTGGAGGGATGGAGGAACGGGGCAAACGGTAACAGCGACGACAAACGGCAACGCCGAGCTCCATGGCGCCGATAAAAGGGAATCTTTGTGTCTGGCGGCATCGGCAGCTTCATGCACGCGGCACGCATAGCGCGCGGCAAATTTCACGCGGCGTCGGCGACGACGATGGCTAGACGGACACCAAACGCAACGCAGATTGTGATCAGGTATAAACGAGATGGTGGTAGCGATAATCTTGCTGCTGCTGGCGATGGCGGCGGCAATGATAATAATAATGATGATGATAATAGAGTGCCGTTGATATTCGCCGTGGCCGTGATGCGTCAATACACAATCATCTACTATATACGCTATGGAATAATAGGGGCATTTATGCGAGTCTTTCAGTGAGCAGGAGGTGTTTCAGCACACCATGGAACGCATAGACTTCATCTATATAACTAGTGAGAAAACGATTGTATGCTAAAATTGCTCCATTCAGTATACGTACATCATCTTAATAACCTTATTAGAATGGAGTAAAGTTGTGATCAATAGGAAGGATCGGCAGCAACCTTGTTACCGCTGTCACCGTCGACATTCAATGTTCTCTCGTGTTGTATATTATATGTGAAGCTAATTAAATAAAAATAAAATCTTCTACGTGGCATGTGTTACTTCCACTATGTTTTTTGAGTATATGATCATAATTCAAGACGAAACCCTTGAATAATCATAGCGTTTTATCTATTTATATATGATGTAGGATCATCATCACTGGAGAACTTTGTAGCTTCTAGGGCTCTGTCACAAATGATTTCTGCATCTGTCCTTCTGTAAATCTAAATTAACGCCATTAAAAGAGCTCTAAAAAAAAGTTTCCAACTTCAAACCGAAAAAATCTATTGAAATTTTCTCCAATTGAATTTTTACCGGGTAACAAGAGGTGTCTGACACTGTGCGCTGGAAAACAATGCCTCCTGTGTTTACTAGTTCCGGTCGATTTTTTTGTGATGAATCGTTATAATTTAGTCAGTTGTGGACAGTAGAGATCTGAAATAATCGATTTCCCAGGTAGAAGGAAGTTATAATCAACGATCCCTTTCCAATTCCATACAATACAAAGGACTGCCTTTTTTGACGTAAGTCTGGGTTTTGCCACAGATTGTGGGGTATTTTTCTAGTTGCACACATTTAATGTGCAACTCTCACATGACTCGTATATGGCTATTCCCGTGTGATCACTCATGACCAACTGCTTTAGGGATAATTCGGTTTCGTTGGGTATCTGTTACGATCAAGCGTCTTTGCGTGATGTCGCGTGGTAGCCAAACAAGCAGCTTCTTCGTAGCCAGTTTTCTAAAAAAGGTTTAAACCTGTTTGGGGTAGATGTTTAGGTCCTTGACGATATCAAGGCTACTCACGTGTCGGTCCTGCTTCACTTCGCAATGACCTTAAGTTTTCCGTCATTGATCTAGCACGAAGAGCATCTTTTGCATTGAAATTTCCAGAACGAAAGTGACGAGGCTATCTTTTCTCCGATAAGGTCATTTGACCAAATACGGCATATATTTGATGGGCCTGAGCAGCATGTGTGCCCTAATCATGATAAATTTAAAAAATATGGACAATTTTTACAGATCTCACTCATCTTCACTGTGC